GCTTTGTCCAGTGCGATTTTGTGCTTTATTGCATTTTAGTCCAATAGAATGCATAGAATTATTTCAATTTTTTTGTATTTGTTGAGGTTTGTTTTGTGGCCCAGTATGTGGTCAATTTTTGAAAAAGTTCCTTGGGGTGCTGAATAGAAAGTATTCTTTGGTGCTTGGGTGGAATATTCAAAAGATGTCTGTTAGGTCCATTTGATGTATGGTATGATTTAATTCAGACGTCTCTCTGTTTATTCTTTGTCCAGTTGGCCTGTCTAATGGAGACAGTGGGGTATTTAAGTCCCCTGCTGTTACTGAGTTGGGGTTAATCTGTGTCTTAAAGTCCTGTAGTGTTGTTTTTATGAATTTGGGTGCACCAGAGTTTGGTGCATATATGTTAAGGATTGTAATATCTTCTTGGTTAATTGTTTCTTTGATCAGAATGAGATAACCCTCCTTATCTCTTCTGATTAGTTTTACTTTGAAGTCTATTTTTTTAGATATTAGAATTGCAACCCCTGCTTGTTTGTTAGTGCCATTTGCTTGGAATATTCTTTTCCATACTTTTACCTTAAGGTAGTGCCTGTCTTTGAAGGTGAGATGGGTTTTTTTTGCAGACAGCGAAGAGATAGATTTTGTTTCTTTTTTTAAATATTTTATTTATTATTTTTATTTTATGTGTATGTGTGTATTGCCTGCATGTATGTGAGTGCATCCGTGTCATGCAATGCCTGCAATGCCTTGGAGATCAGATGAAGGCTTCAGTTTCCCCCCTGGAACTGGAGTCAAGGACAGTTAGTAGCCACCATGTGGTTGCTGGGAATCGAACCTGCATTCTCTGTAAGAGCAGTCAGTGCTCTTAACTGCTGAGCCATCTCTCCAGCCCCGGATTTTGTTTCTTAATCCATTCACTTAGCCTTTGTCTTTTGACTGGGGAGTTCAGTCCATTGATATTTAAGGTTATTATTGAAAGGTGTGTATTGGTTTCTGTCATTTTGATTGCTGTTTGTGTTCTCTGTCTAATCTTGTGTTTCCTAGACTATATCTTTATTTTCTTTCATTGCCTCTGGGGTATAGTTGCTTCTCTCTCTGCTCTCTGTATTGCTTCAAATATGCCCTTCTTTGAAGGGCTGGTTTTGTGGACATGTATTCTTTCAGACTAATTGTGTCATGGAAGACTTCCCCCCCCTCAACTATAACAGACATTTTTGCTGGGTAACATATTCTGGGCTGGCAGCTTGGTCCAGGCTCTTCTGGCTTTGATAGTTTGCATTGATAAGTCAGCTGTAATTCTGATGGGCTTTCCTTTGTATGTGACTTGTTGTTTTTCTTTTGCTGCTTTCAGTATTCTCTCTTTGTTCTGTACATTTAGTGTTTTTACTATGATATGTTGTGGGGAGTTTCTTTTCTGATCCAGTCTATTTGGTGTTCTATGTGCTTCCTGTATTTGTATGGGATATTTTTCCTTAATTTCGGGAAATTCTCTTCTACAATCCCTTTTAAGATCTGGTCAACACCATTAACCTGAAATTCTTCTCCTTCCTCTATTCCTATGATACATAGATTTGGTCTTTTCATGGTGTCCCACATCTCTTGCATATTCCATTCCTGTATTTTAAAAATTTTTCCATAATCTTTGCTTGAGTAGTCCAATTTTTTAACTTTATCCTAGCAATGGTTAGACCTCTTTCAATGTTGTTTATGTCTAGTCACATTGGAATTTTTTCTGTTAATTTGAACCGACTGTGGTGGTACACACCTGTAATCCTAGCACTCAGGAGGAAGCTTGAGGATTTCAATTTCTAGACTAGCTCAAGGCCGGCCTGGGATATCTGAAACTTTGTCAAAAAAAAAAAGGAGAGAAAGTAAAGAAAGGGGATTGGAAAGTTTGGTTTCCAATACCAACATCAGGTGACTCATAACCACCTGTAACTCCAGTTCCAGGGGCTCTGATGTCATCTCCTGGCCTCTGAGCATACCTGCACACACACGGCATACCATCACAGAAACACACACATACACATAATTAAAAATAAAATAATTATTTAAAGAAAGAGGGGGAATAGATGTTAGAAGTGAATCAGAAGTTGCTAACACCCCCTTCTAGCTGACCTGTAAACACTCTCAGTTCTTGTATCTTCTCTTTCTATTTCAGAATCCTTGAAAAAGATGAAAACAATATTGATGCCTGGCAAATTCTAGCTGTGCATGAGCTTGTGAGAGAAGGGAACATGACCACAGTAAGTTGTTCTAAGACTCAGAAACTGAGCCAGGCTTGGTGACACATACCTGAAATCCTAGAATGCATGAGGGTGAAGCAGGATGGTTGGATTTTGAAGTTTGAGTCAAGACTGTAATTCAAAAGCACAAAGGGGGGATAGAGAGATGGCTCCGTGGTTAAGAGCACTTACCGTTCTTGCACAGAACTGTGTTTCAGTTCCCAACATCCACATGGTTGCTCACAACTATCTGTAACTCCTCTTCCAGGAGATGCAATGCCCCTTTCTGCCCTCTGTGTACATTGCATGCATGTGGAACACATACATACATGCAGGGAAAACACTCTCACACATAAAATAAAAGTAAACAAATCTTTTTATCTTTTTTTTTTTTTTGGTCTTTTTGAGAGAGGGTTTCCCTGTAGCACCAGCTGGCCTGGAACTTGCTATGTAGACCAGACTGGCCTCAAACTCACAGAGATCCACCTGCCTCTGCCTCCCAAGTGCTGAAATTAAAGGCAAGGGCCACCATGCCCAGCTAAATCTTTTTTTTTTTAAAGGGGGCTGGAAAAATCGCTCAGTGGTTAAGTGCACTTGCTCCTCTTGTGGAAGATCCAAGTTCAGTTCCCAGCACCCACATCTGACAGTTCACAACCGTTTGTAACTGCAGCTTCAACACCCTCCTCTGGCCTCTGAGGACACCTGCACTCATGTGTGCACATACCCACACACATCTATACATAATTTTTTTTTAAATGGGGGGGGAGCTGGAGACATGACTCAATGGTTCAGAGCACTTGCTGCTCTTGCAGAAGACCTGGGTTTGATTCCCAGCACCCATATGGCAGCCAACAACTGTCCATAACTCCAGTTCTATGGGAATCAGATGCTCTCTTCCAGCCTCCATGGGCACTGCATGACATGGGTATACTTACATGCAAGCAATACACTCATACACATAAAATAAAAATAATAAATAAAACATTTGAAAAGGTATTCATAATATTTTTTTTATATTTTTGAGACAGGGTCTCCCTGTAGCTACAGCTGGCTTGGAACTTGCTACGTAGACCAGGCTGGCCTTGAATTCACAGAGATCCACCTGCCTCTGCCTGCCTCTGGGATTAAAGGTGTGTGCCACCATGTCCAGCATAATAATAATTTTTTTTTTTAATTAAGAGAGAGAATGCCGGATCTCTGTGAATTCAAGGCCAGCCTGGTCTACATATCGAGTTCCAGGCCCAGTTCCAGGCTGGGGCTACAGGGAGGCCCTGTCTCAAAAAGACCAAAAGAAAAAAAAAACAGAGAGAGAGAAAGAGAGACTGACTGAGAAGTTGAGCCTTGGAACAGATATTGTACAAAGAGAAACCCAAGCCCCAGCCTCACCTCCGAATCTGGAGGGTGCTTGGATCTTATCTCCACTTCATTTCCACACTCTCTGCTGAGGAAGTATGTTCTAGTCAGGCCCTTTTAAATGCGCACCGTCCAGCAGAGGGTAACAACAGCTCTACCACCAGCTACTGGTGGGAGCCTGGGCAGGTGACTCCCCCTGGCAAGCTCCAACCCCTCCATTGTAAAACAAACATAATTCCACAGAGCTGTGAGGGTTTTAGGACTCAGGAAGACTGGGAAGTGGGAATGATTGCAGCAGGACCTGGTACACCACAATTTGGCCCATGTTAACAGTAGATGCTGCTGTAGTATAGTGGGGTTTTTGTTTGTTTGGCTGGCCTACAGCATGATATGTAGACCAGACTGGCCTTGAATTCATAGAGATCTGCCTGCCTCTGCCTCCAGAGTCAAATGCTGGGACTAAAGTCATGCGCCACCATGCTCCGCCTTATGGCAGTGTTTTAATATTAAGAAATGTTACTTTGGGGCCTGGTGAGATGGCTCAGCTGGTAAAGGTACCTGTCACTAACCCTGATGACCAGAGTTCAGTTCCCAGGAATCTACATGGTAGAAGTAGAGAATCAACTCCCACAAGTTGTCCTCTGACCTCCACACTCATGCTGTGGCACTTGCAGTGCACACATACACACACACACACACACACACACACACACACTAAATAAATAAATAAATAAATAAATAAATGTAATGGAAAAAAATGTCATTTGTGGGGCTAGAGATATATCTCAATCGTTAGAGTGCTCACCTGGCATTTAAGAAACCCTGGGTTTGTGCTTGCTTCAGCAGCACATGTACTAAAACTGAAATGATACAGAGATTAGCACAGTCCCTGCACAATGATGACATGAGAGTCCATGAAGCATTCCATAGTTTTTGTTTATTTTAAAGAAACTAGAAAGAAAGAGAGAGAGAGAGAGAGAGAAAGGAAAGAAAGAAAGAAAGAAAGAAAGAAAGAAAGAAAGAAAGAAAGAAAGAAAGAAAGAAAGAAAGAGGACTGCAATCAAGAAAAATAGAAAGGCTGGGCATGGTAGCTCATGCCTTTAATCCCAGCACTCAGGAGACAGTGGTAGGCACATCTTTGAAATTGAGGCCATCCTGGACAAGAAGTCCAGGCTACAGGGAGTGCCTGTCTCAAAAAAGAAAAGAAAAGAAAAGGAAAGAGAGAGAGGGAGGGAGGGAGGGAGGGAGGGAGTAAGAAACCCTGAGTTTGATCCCTAGCAATACATAAACTGAGTCATGGTGGTGCATGCCTCTAATTCCAACACTTGGAGGTAGAGGCAGAAGGATCAGGAGTTCAAGGTAACCTCAGTTACATAGCAAATTTGAAGCCAGCCTGGCCTACGTATGAAGCTACCCTGTCTTTAAAAAAATAACAGTGACTCTTGTAGGGAATAGTTGGTTAACTGGTCTCAAACTTGCTCCTAAGTCTAGTTGTTTTCTAAAGTAACCAAAAATAATCCTCAGGTGCAGTTAAAAAAGCAAAACAAAACAAAAAAAAAGCACCTAGAATTCTTACCAAAATCTCAATGCTTAGACAAGTTTTTAGCCCAAGCATGATTTTTTTTTAAGACAAAATCTCGTGTATCCCAGGCTAGCCTCACACTCCCCATGCAGCAGAGGATGGTCCTGAACTTCTGATTTGCTTGCCTTCACCCCTCAGGTATGCACAACCACTCCTGGTTTTATGTGGTGCTGGGGATTGAACCCGGGGCCTCAGGCATGCTAAGCAAGCACTCTACCCAAGACCCAAGCCTTGCCTTTTGAATAACAGGAAAGCACCACCTTGTGGAGAGCCTAGAAAGGCCTGGATCTAAGGGGTCACACAGGAGGAAAAAGATTCTGGTTCTTTCTGGGCAACTCGTGGGTTTTATGGAGTGGGGTGGCATGGAGGAACAGTCCTTACCTGGGAAAAACCCTGAAATGAAAAGTGCCCCAGCACTGTCTCTGGGAGGGGTCATGCCTTCCTGGGGGGCCTGGCATCAGTGATGTCACCCTGAGGGCAGAGTCAGTATCTCATGCCCTGTCTTTACCCCCACTTCAAACTCTGGGACTTTCCCCTCCCCCTAGCCTGACTGTGCAGTTGTCATCCTGTCTGAGCAAAGCAGACTCAGCATTCTCTCTCTCTCTCTCTCTCTCTCTCTCTCTCTCTCTCTCTCTCTCTCTGAAGACTTGTTTTTTATGTATGCGTGCAGCCTGCAGTGCCCTTGGAGGCCAGAAGAAGGCATCAGATCCCCTGAAATTAGAGTTTTAGATGACTGTGAGCTGCTGTGTGGGTGCTGGGAAACAAATCCCCATCCTCTGCAAGAGCAGCCAGTGCTCTTAGCCCACTGAACCATCTCTCCAGCTCTTCTCTCTCTCTCTCTCTTTTAAATTACATTTTGTTTATCTCTGTATGTGTGTGTACTCACCACAGTGCACATGCGGCAGTCTTAGGACAACCTGTAAGAGTCGGCCCTCTCCCTGAACCACGTGGGTCCCAGGGATGAAACTCAGGTTGTCAGGCTTGGCAACAGCTGCCTTTACCTGCTGAGCCATCTGGCCCCCAGGCTTCTCTTTGGACACACCTCTGCAGCTTAAGACCCTAGTCTTCTGAATCAGTCATCTGGCTGGGTGGGTGACCTCAGACCTTTCTGACCCTTGCCCTGCTGTGCAGGGAAGTTTGGATAGCAATACTGACTTAATGCACTATAGGAGGGTCTGTGGAGTGACAGGGGTGCCCATGTGGGGACACAGGTCAAAACAGGGATGAGGGCTTGGCCAATTCAGGCAAAGGGCAGTGGCTGGATGGGCTGCCTCTGGCTCTGGCATCTGTTTTGGTAGGTCTGGCAGGACAGCTTTTCCTCACACACTCAGGACAAGGGACAGGGTCAGCCCTAGCAGTTATAGTGTTCCCTCAGACGCTACCTGTAATTTTGAGACAGCTCTTAAACCTGGGCCTTGTGGGCCAAGTAGAGCTTAGTCTGCAGGGGGTGGGGGGTTGCCAGGGCAGGGAGGTAGAGGGAGTTAAATCTTTTTCTTTTTTCTTTCTTTTTTTTTTTTCTTTTTTTTGGTCTTTTTGAGACAGGGTCTCCCTGTAGCCCCAGCTGGCCTGGAACTTGCTATGTAGACCAGGCTGGCCTTGAACTCACACAGATCCACCTGCCTCTGCCTCCCGAGCACTGGGATTAAAGGTGTGAACCACCAGGTCGGCTGGGAGTGTGAAGCCAGGATTGAACCCTGGTATTGTGGTTTGGGGTTCCTTTTTGCTTTGTTTGCTTTTAGATAGGGTCTGGAACTCTCTATGTGGCTAAGGAAGACCCTGAACTCCTAATCCTCCTGCCTCTACTTCTTGAGTGCTAAGATTACAGGCATATACCACACCATACTTGGTTTATGCAGTGCTGGGGATGGAACCAGAGTTTCATGCATGCTAGGTAAGCACTCTGCCAACTAAGCTGCATCCCTAGCTCCTGCCCCCACATTACCTGTTTGGTTTTTGCAGGCTGCTGATCATGTTAGAAATCTAATCAAGGCACTAGAAGCTCGAGAACCCCAGAATCCAAGCCTCCACCTTAAGAAGATTCTTGTGGTCAGCAGACTGGTACGTAGGTGGCGCCTAATTTCTGAGTCCCATGCTTCCCTCTGCTTTCCTCAGAGAAGGCCTGGGCTTCTGTAGATTCTCTCTGAGTACCCTGCCCCTCACCTTCACCTTCCAGCTCAAACCTGGCTTCTCCAACTTGAAGCCCATTCCTGTGGCCTCTGTCTGCTTCTGGCTGGTAACAGTGACAATGTGAGCCACATATCCTCCATCCAGGTGCCCCTTCGAGATGCTGTGGTGACCAGGGAGATGGGGTTTAAAGGGACTTTAGAGAGGTGGTCCTGCCAAACATGGTGGTGTACAACTTCAATCCCAGTACTTGGAAGGCAGAAGCAGGAAGGTCTCTGGGAGTTTAAGGCCAGCCAGCCTGATCGACATACCAAGTTCTAGGCCAGCCAGGGCTGTTTAATGAGACCCTGTCCCAAAATAAATAAATAAACAAATAAATAAATAAACAAACAGGAATTCAAGCATGATGGTACTTGGGAGGTAGAATCATGAGCAGGAGTTCAAAGCCAGCCTCAGCTACATAGCAAGTTCAATGCCAACCTGGGCGACATGAAACCCTGTCTCAAACACAAAACAAGAACCTCTTGGTAGCTCCTGAGATCAGTTACTGTGCCCTGTCAAGGATGCATCTCTCAGAGAACCTGAGGACTGGAGGCAGGTCCTGGGAAATGGACAGCTCTATATACCCACCTTCCTAGATAGACCCCCTGGTACCTCTTGGGTATTGTGAGGCCTCCCCCGCCTTGCTGAAATGGCCCCCACTCCTGACATGGCCTTGCCCAGGCAGGTTGGGCTGATTGGTCTCTGTGTTTCCATGTGTCTATTCTGCAGTGTGGGAGGCACCAGGCAGTTCAGCGGCTAGTGAGCAGCTTCATGGAGCGCATTTTCATGTCCACACCCTCCTGTGCCCTTGTGGCCACAGAGCTGGGCTATCTCTTCATCCTACAGCACCAAGTGAAGGAGGCGTGTCAGTGGTACAAGGAGGCCATGAAGCTGGAGAATAGGCTGGCTACCTTGGCAGGTCTCTGCATGCTGGGTGGGGGGCAGTGGAGAGCAGGGGTGTCCTCGTGGGGCCCAGAAGAGAGGTACTGGGAAGCATTCTCCCCAGGCTGTGAGTTTGGGGGTACTGTACCATGAGGGTCTTCTGGTGAACCCATCAGTACAGATGGAAGGCCCAAGCAGGACTGCTTAGAGCCATGATTCAACCCATGCTGACCCACACCAGACCTGTCCTCCATCCCCAGAAAACTGATGAGCTGTCGCTCATTCTGGTGAGCCCTACTCCTCACCCCATCCCACAAAACCTTTACATGCATTTCTGCTGACCTCCCTCTGCAGGTCCCAGAGCTGAAAGGTCACCAGAGAGGGTAGTCTGAAGTTTTACTTCCCTGTCTGAGCAGATGTTTTATTTAGCCTTTGTGTAAATGTCAAATGAATTTTCTGATAAGTCCCATTTTCTTCTTAAAAGTTGCACATATCAACCACTCATAATAATAGGTTTTATATGACACTTTCATCCTAGAAGCCCCATTTTCATATGATACTTTTTCTCTTTTTTTTTTCTTTTTTGAGACAGGGTCTCACTGTCCCTCAGGCTAGCCTCAAACTTGCAATCTTCCTACCTCAGTCTTCCAAGTGCTGAGATGATTTATATGTATATATAATCATGCCCAGATTTTTTGTTTGTTTGATTTGCTTATTTGTTGTTTTGTTTGTTTTAGAGTATATCCCTGGCTGTCCTAGAACTCACTGTGTAGACCAGGCTGGCCTTGAACTCACAGAGATCCTTCAGACTCTACCTCCCAAGTGATGTGCTTAAAGGCACATCCTTCCACACCTGGCCTATTTTGTTTTTGTTTTTGTTTTATACATACATATATATATATATAATTTTATGTGTATGAGTGTGTTGTCTGCATGTATGTCAGTATACCCTTGTCATGCAATACCCACGGAGGTCAGAAGACAGCATCAGATCCCCTGGAACTGGAGTTATAGAGGATTATTAGATGCTCTGTGGGTACTGGGGGCTGAACCCAGGTCCTCTGGAAGAGCAACCAGTTCTTTTAACCACTGAGCCATCTCTCCAGCCCCTAATTTTGTGGTGTGGTGGCACACGCCTTTAATCGCAACACTTGGGAAGCAGAGGCAGGCGGAGCTCTATGAATTCAAGCCCAGCCTGGTCTACACAGAGAGTTCCAGGACAGCTGGGGCTACAGGGAGACCCTGTCTCATAAAAAAAGGTTTAAAGGGCTAAACCCCAAATTGTTAATAGAGGTTATCACTGGAGCTCTTGCTATAGCCGGTATATGAACGTGGGGTATTTTTCTTTATGCTTTACTGCATGAGTTCTCTACCACAAGCACGCCTTGCTCCTTCAGTTGGAGAAGATATTGGAAAAGGCTCCCTGCTTCCATCCTGCCCCTGGATCTGCTGGGCTGCTGGCTCTGCTTCTGAGCGGCCTGCCCAGCCTTGCTCTGTCCTGTCTATAGGGAACATCTGGTGCCTGATCTTACAGGGCCAGCTGGAGGAGGCTGCGTACCAGCTGGAGTTCTTGAAGGCGGTACAACAGTCCCTTGGGAAATCTGAGGTCAGTGCTCCCTGGGAACAGTGGATGACTCCAGGTGGGGGCTCCCACAGAGGGCAGTCAAGATGCCCCCCTACCCCCAGCCTCACTTGGCCCACCCTACTCCTGCCCAGGCCAGCCTTGGCTCTGAGACCTGGGTCTTTCTTGCACAGGTGCTGTTTTTCCTGCAAGCCCTTGTAGCATCTAAGAAGCAAAATGGAGAGCAGGAGGCCACAGAGCTCCTGAAAGAGGCTGTGGAGCTGCACTTCTCCAGCATGCAAGGCCTGCCCCTGGGTCCTGAGTACTTTGAGAAGTTGGACCCTCTCTTTCTGGTCTGCATTGCCAAGGAGTATCTGCATTTCTGTCCTAAGCAGGTTAGGGGAAAACCCATCTTCATGGCGGGGACCTAAAGCATAGGTATGGATGGTGCCCACCCGAAGAATGAAGGCTCAGGCCTTAGCTGGCCAGCTACCAGGCCAGCCTGAGTCTTAGGCAGTCAGGGAGCTGAATAATTTTCTGTTCTGTTTTGTTTTGCTTTTTGTCTTGTCTTGTGTTTGAGACAGGGTCTCCTCTAACCCAGGCTGATCCCTAAATTGCTATATAGCTAAGGACCACCTTGAATACCTGGTCCTCCTGCCTCTTCCTCCTGAATGCTAGGATTACAGATATGCACCACGACACCCAGTTTATAAAGTGCTGGGGATCAAACTCATTGCTTCCTGTGTGCCAGGCAAATGCTCTAGCAACTGAGCTACAGTCCCAGACCCCAGTGCTTTCAAATCTGAACATGTAGCAGCCAGATCACCTGGGAGATTGTTCCAGTGCAGAGTCTGATGTCACCAGTGAGGCCCAAAGCCTCCCATCTCTCATAAGCTCCCAGGCCTAGCTTAGGTTGTGGTATATGGACCACATTTGGGTGGGGCAGGACTCTGGCCTGGTCATGCCCCGCTTGCTGTATCCTTATAAGAACTCTTTTCCAGCTGAGTGTGATTGCATATGCCTTTAATCCCAACACTCTGGAGGCAGAGGCAGGCGAATCTCTGTGAGTTCCAGGCCAGATAAGGTTACAGGGAGACCCTGTCCCAAAAAGACCAAAAAAAAAAAGGAAAAAAAAGAGGGTCTCACTCTGTAGCCTGTTATGTAGGTTGTTGTGGAACTCACAGAGATCTGCCTGCCTCTGCCTCCCAAGTGCTGGGATTAAGGCATGCACCATCACGTGGACCCAGCTGTGTTAGGATCTTGTTTTTTCCTACTTTCTCAGTCAGGCAAGATTTCTTGTGGCCAAGGAATGTTTCAAGTCTAATATCCTCTCACTGCCTGTTATAAGTCAGTCAGCAAGCACTGTGTGACTGCAATACTGGCGGAGACCATTCTAGGGACTGGGGACCCAACAAGAAAGAGAACAAAGTCCCTGTTCTCTGGAGTGTGGGCTCTGGCACCAGAAAGTGTAGAGGGGAGAGTAAGTATGGAAGAAAGCCAAATTCCTTCCCTGAGAGTATGCTCAGAGCTGTAGGAGTCCCTCATAGAATGAGGCAAACTTTGGGCCAGTAAGATGGCTCAGATAAAGGCATCTGTTGCCAAGCCTGAGGACCTAAGTTCAATCCACATGGTGGAAAGGAGAAAACTGACTCCTGCAAGTTGTTTGTGCACATGCACACACACACATGCACACAAAGAACAGAGCTTAGAGCCAGACTTGGTGGTACATGTAATCCTAACATTTAGAAGAGTAAGGTAGGAGGATCATGAATATGAGGCTAGCATCAGCCACAAAGTGAAACCTTGTCTCAAAAGAAAAAAAAAAAAAAGAGCACCAAAGGGCTAGAGAGATGACTCAGCATGACTCAGCAGTTAAGAGCACTTACTGCTCTTACAGAGGACCTACTTTCAATTCCCAGCACCCACATGGCAGCTAACAACTATCTATAACTAGTTCTAGGGGATCTGACACCCTCCTCTGACCTCCATTGGCATTGTATGACACGGGTACACTTACATACATACAGGCACAACACTCACATGCATAATAAAAGTAAATGTTTAAAAATAATAACAAATAAAAGTTGAAAAACAAGAAAAAGAAGTTGGGCATGATGTAATCTTAGCACTTGTAGGGGAGGTGGAGGCAGGAGGATGAGGAGTTCAAGGTTGCTCACAGCTACACATCAAGTTCTAGGCCAGCCTGGGCTGCACTGAGACCTTGTATCAGAACAGGAACTTGGCATGCAGCTCAGTTGGTAGAGTGCTCACCTAGCATGCAGGAAGCCGTGGGTTCAGTCTCCAGCACTGCATAAACTGGGCAATGGTAATGTATGCTTTTAATCCCAGCACTCAGCAGGTGAAGGAAAATCAGAGGTTCAAGGGCATTCTTGGCTACACAGGTAATTCAAGGCCAGCATGGGGATATATAAGTGGGGGAGGAAAGCCCGGTGTGGTGGCACACGCCTTTAGTCCCAGCACTTAGAAGGCAGAGGCAGGAGGATTTCTGTGAATTGGAGGCCACCTTGGTCTATATAGTAAGCCTCCCAGCACTTAGAAGGCAGAGGCAGGAGGATTTCTGTGAATTGGAGGCCACCTTGGTCTATATAGTAAGCCTCAGGCCAGCTGGAGCTACAGGGAGACCCTGTCTCAAAAAGACAAAAAAAAAAAAAAAAAAAAATGAGGGGGAGGGAAAGGAAGAAAGAAGGTAAACCACACATCCAGTTCCTTCTGTTTCTGCAGCCTCGGTCACCAGGCCAGCTGGTGTCTCCCCTTCTTAAACAAGTCACTATGATCTTAAGTCCTGTGGTAAAGGCAGCCCCAGCCATGATGGACCCTCTATATGTGACAGCTCAGGTCAAGTTTCTCTCAGGTGAGTGGTGGGTCCAGGAAGACACCTGATGAGGCTTCTGTCCCAGGGTAGTATCCACAGCTCCCTGTCTGTGATACTTTACATGCATACATATATCACCAGTCCCCCCCCACACACACACGCTCCACCAGCAGTCCCCAGTAACCTTCTCAGCCTCTCTCAGCCGCAGCAAGGGTCTCTCCTACCCTTGCAGGTGACAGGAGCAGTCAGTACCCAGGATAGGCAGTCCCAACAGAGCTGAATTCTAGTAAGCAGAAGTAGATACCACCTACACATATGGTGCTGTTAAAAAGAGATACTTGCACGGGCGTGGTGGCACATGCATTTAATCCCAGCACTCAGGAGGCAGAGGCAGGCAGATCTCTGTCAATTCAAGGCCCGCCCGGGCTACATAACAAGTTCCTGGCCAGCTGGGGAGAGACCCTGTCTCAAAAAGACCAAAAAGGAAAAAAAAAAAAAAAAAAAAGATACTTTCAATTAAAACAAACTCAGGGCTGGAGTGATGGCTCAGCTGTTAAGAGTGCTCACTGCTCTTGCAGAGGACCCGAGTTCAGTTCCCAGTACCCATATCAGGCGTCTCACAGCTGCCTATAACTCCAGGTTTGGGAGATCTGACACCCTCTTCTGGCCCCATGCACCTCCACTCACACACATATACCTACATGCACACATACATACACATAATTAAAAATCTTGTTTAAAAAGTCATACTTTGGAGTCAGGTGTGGTGGTGCACATCTTTAATCCCAGCATTCTAGAGGCAGAGGCAGGCGGATCTGTGAGTTCAAGGCCAGCCTGGTCTGCATAGCTAGTTCCAGCCCATCTCAGGCTACAAGGAGACCCTGTCTCAAAAAAGACCAAAAAAGAAAAAAGTCATACTTTGGGGGACTGGAGACATGGCTAAGCAGTTCAGAGCACTGGCTGTTCTTCCAGAGGACCTGGGTTTGTTTTCTAGTACCCACATTGGGCAGCTCACAACTACCTATAGTTCCAGTTCTAGGGGATCCAGCACCTTCTTTTGGCCTCTGTGGGTATTTCAGGACATGGGTGTGCTTACATACATGCAGGCAAAACACTCATAAAAATAAGTAAATAGATAAAAAAATGAATAATTTTAGTCATACATTGGGGCAGCAGCATGGCTCACCAGGTAAAGGTGCTTGCCACCAAGTCTGATGACCTGAGTTTAATTCCTGGAACCCACATGGTGGAAAGAACAAACCTTTACAAGGTTGTCCTCTGACCTCTATAACTACTCTGTGGCCTATGTGTGTGCACACAAGTGTATGTGCATACACACACACAATAAATAAAATGTGGACTAGGCTGGCCTCATGCTCAGACATCTGCCTACAAATAAAATTTAAATGTTAAAAAAAAAAAAAAGACCAGATACTACTGTCTGTAGAGGAAACAAAATCCAGGAAGGAATGTGGGGTAAAAGGGTGTTGGGGAAGACCTCCTGGAGAGGTGGGGCCCTGGACTATGAGGCTTCTCCTGCCCTATATCTCAGGCACTGGAGAAAGAAAAGGGAAGAACACAGCTGGGCGTGGTGGTGCACACCTTTAATCCTAGCGCTTGGGAGGCAGAGGCAGGCAGATCTATGTGAGTTCAAGGCCAGCCTGGTCTACATAGAGAGTTCCAGGCCAGCAGGGACTACAGGAAACCCTATTTCAAAAGATGAAAGAAAGAGAGAGAGAGGGGGAGAGAGAGAAAAAGAGAGAGAGAGAGTTACTTTTCCCTTGTGGTCTTCACCTATCTCATTGCCCAGTAAACCAGCTGCTCCCTGGCACCCTGGGTTCCCATAGAACCAAGGAGACAGTACTATTGCTGGGTCTGCAGTCACACTACACTGGGTGGTTTTGCTTGGCTGAAGGCTCCTCTGTCTTCATCCTGTCTTCTCTGTGCCAGGCTTTCTCATTGCTTCCCAATCTCCTGGGCTCAAGGTCAAAGCAGGAGGACTATCCCAAAGGTGCTGGCAGCTACCAGAAGGTTTGGAGCCAAAGCTAGGTCTCCAGGTGGTTAAATTGCCATAGTGATTTATTCCTACCTCCACAGCACACAAGGAAGGAGCAGGGAGTTTGGGACCCAGAAGAGAAAGGTCCCACCCTCCAGATGGTGGACTCCAGGCAGCAGCTGTGGAAGGGCCTGGTTACAGAGGCAGGATGCACCCCCTCCTTGCCCATTGCACCCCAGCATTACTGCAGCATCAGTCCCCTAGTGCCAGGGGTTCAGAGCTCCCGCTCAGGGGTCACATAGGCTTGGATTTAAATTCAGACTTTGTCTCTCCGACTGAGTGGCTTACCCCAATGTATACTGAGTCACACAACTAAAAGACAGTATGTTAAGGCCCAGACACATATAGCACCTGCTTAGCATGCTTGAGGTCCCAGGTTCAATCCCCAGCACCACCAAAATTAATTAACTAAACACGAGGATCACAATACCAACCTTGCAGGGATGTGTAGATATTAATTCAGACTTTTAAAACGTGCCTTTCAGGGCTGGAGAAATAGCTCAGTCACTAAAGTGCTTTCCTTGCAAGCCTGAAGCCCTGAGTCTGATCTCTAGCTTGTGATCCCAGTGCCAGAGAGACAGAGACAGGCAGGCTGTTCACTAGAGCTTACTTCTGGGCACCCTAGTCTACTTGGTGAGCTCCAGGGTGGATCTCAGAAAACAAAGACGGCAGCCTGGAACACCAGCTCTAGGACACACACACACACACACACATTTGCTGGGGGTGATAGCTCACACCTTTAATTCCAGCATTGGGGAAGCAGAGGCAGGCAGAGCTCTGTGAGTTTGAGGCCAGTCTGGTCTACCTAGCAAGTTCCTATATACTAAGATCCTGTCTCAAAAAAAGAAAAATGAAAACTGATAAAGTTGTTCTCTGGAATGCACCCTGTCTTCACACACACACACACACACACACACACACACGCACACACACACACACACGCCTGGCATGTGTGGAACATTGAGCAGGTGCATCACAAATTGCAGCTGCTGCTGTTGTTGTTAGGTGTTGCTCTGGGATTGAGACACATATTCCCCTGAGCTTCCAGATGGAGTAGCAAAGTTACTTAGCAATGTCCCTGGGGGCTACAGAGACAAGGGCAGCCTTCCACCAAGGCCAGAGTATCTAGCTTTTGTCTAGATGAAGACAAACTGAGCCATTTAAAGAGGAGACCACTGAGTAGAGCACAACAGACTGAGGAAAGGGGCCAGCAAGATGTCTCAGTGAGTAAAGGTGCTTGGTGCCAAGCCTGACGACCTGAGTTTGATCCCTGGGACTCACATGATGACAAGAGAGAACCGACTCCTCAAACTGGCCTCTGACCACCACATGTGTGCTGTGGCATATACATGCATGCACACACAGACATAAATTAATTAAAAAAAAAAAACAGAATAAAATGACCAATGTAGAGATTTCTGGATGGCTATATGTGTGAAATCCATTCTCCCCATACTTGTTGGGTCTTTGGGGTTTCCCAAGGGTCTCTGGATGCAGAGGTTGGTTTGTTGTTCCCAGGAGAGCTGGAGAATGCCCAGAGTACCCTGCAGCACTGCCTGGAGCTGGACCCCACCTTCGTGGATGCCCATCTCCTCATGTCTCAGATCTACCTGGCGCAGGACAACTTCGCCATGTGTTTCCACTGCTTAGAGCTGGGTGTCAGCCACAACTTCCAGGTGGGTGCCCTCCACACTCTGGGGCCCACCCAGCTGCCACCTGCCCCATTGCCACATGGTCCTTGCCTGGGGAGGAAGGCCACTCAGGGGCTACTCAGGCTCTGCTGGTTCACAGGCAGGGCAGGCTCCCAGGGCATTCTCTGGTGGCTGTCATGTGAACTGCAGAGGTGAACTGGACCCCAACCTGCTCTGTACTTACCAGGTCCGAGACCATCCTCTCTACCATTTCATCAAAGCCAGAGCCCTCAACAAGACTGGTGACTATGCAGAGGCCATAAAGACGCTGAAAATGATCATGAAATTACCCACCATGAAGTTAGAAGAAGGCAAGAAGTTCCCTGGGCCCTCCGTGCAGCCCAGTGAGCGAGCATCCATCTTACTGGAGTTGGTAGAAGCCCTCCGGCTGAATGGGGAGCTGGTGAGAAATGAATTCCTTGGGGCTAGGAAGATGGCTTGGTGGATAAAGAGCTTGCTGTACAAGCATGAGGACCAGAGTTTAGATTGCCAAACCTCACGTAAAAGCCAGGAGGGTGACTGCCCACCTCTAATCCCAGCAGCTTGGGAGGTGGATCCCTGGAGCACTGGACTTGAAGACTCTGCAAGCTTTGAGTTCAGCCAGAGATCCTGCCTCAGTAAATAAAGTGGAGACAATCAAGGAAGATACCCAAAGTCAACCCCTGGCCACCTCACACACACATATGCACCTGCACACACTTGTACCCACACACTTGGGCACATACAACACGCATGCATGCATACCGCACACAAAGAGACACTCGAAACAAAAAGGAAAGAAAGATACCTTGCTCCCCTCCCTTGGGGGCACATTGGAGGCACAGGCTCAGCCTTGGAGTCAAGCTTTCTCCTTGGCCTGATGTTCACTTGTGCTGTTGTTCGAGCCCTTCTTCATTTAAAAGCAAGTCTTCTCTGTGCCCAAAAATCTTCAGTGGCTCCTGTTGCCCTGAAGATAAGCCCAGTCTATTGGGTCTTGCATGATGTGGCCCCTGGTCACCTCACTGTCCCCATGAGGAGGCAGTGTTCCCCTATGGAGGCCCTTTAGGGCTACCACCAGTGGTTAAGCGGATTGGGCCTCTCATGGGCCCAGGGATGCTGGTCATACAGTAGCTTTGTGAACCCTGTCTCTTTGCAGTTTTGTAGTATATACACGCTGAACTGTATGAGGCAGCCCTGAAGCCTTAGAAGTTCTGGCAGGGAGGAGGCACCTAGTATCTCAGCTGGTACCTGGGAGCCATGGGAACAGAGGAGGAGCAAGGCCTTGGGGAGTGGGGCTCTGTGTGATGCTTGGCCTCACTAGCCTCACCAACTCATAGGACAGGGTCTATCCTGGACTATGTCTGTTACCCACCAAAGCCTGTAACCTCCTATGATGATCCTGATGTAGAGCAAAAGCTAGCCCAAGAGAGATGGCTGAGTTGGTAAAGTGCTTGCCATGTAAACACGAGGACCTGAGTTTGATCCCCAGAACTCTTGTTAAAAAACAAGCCAGGCGTCATGGCGCACGCCTTTAATTGCAGAGGCAGGCGGATCTCTGAGTTCGAGGCCAGCCTGGTCTCTGTAGCAAATCCAGGCCAGCTGGGTCTACAGGGAGACCCTGTCTCAAAAAGACCAGAAAAAAGAGAGAGCCGGGCGTGGTGGCGCACGCCTGTAGTCCCAGCACTTGGGGAGGCAGAGGTAGGCGGATATCTGTGAGTTCAAGGCCAGCCTGGTCTACATAGTGAGTTCCAAGACAGCTGGGGCCACAGGGAGACCCTGTCTCAAAAAAAAAAAAAAAAACAAAAAAAAAAACACAGAAAAAAAAAAACAACAAAACAAAACAGGCATGCCTTGAGTCCTAGCACTTGGGAGGCAAAGCAAAGGCAGAAGATCTTTGTGAGTTCAAGTTCAAGGCCAGCCTGGTCTACATGGCAAGTTCCCAGCCAGCCAAGACTACACAATAAGACTTTGTCTTAAAAAAGAAAAAAACAGGGCCGGGTATGGTGATACATGCCTTTAATCCCAGCACTCAGGAGGCAGAGTTAGGTGGGTCTCTGTGGGTTCAAGGCTATCCTGGTCTACATAGTGAATCCCAGGCCAGCTGGGGCTATAGGGAGACCCTGTCTCAAAACACAAAAAGAAAAGAAAAAAACAGCTGGGCATGGTGGCATACACCTTTGGTCCCAGCACTTGGGAGGCGGAGGCAGGCAGATATCTGTGAGTTCAAGGCCAGCCTGGTTTATATAGCAAGTTCTAGGTCAGCTGGGGCTACAGGGAGACTGTGTCTCAAAAAGACAAAAAAAAAAAAAAAAAAGAGTTGGTATGTCAGACATCAGGGAGTTGGGTAAAGGACAAGCCCAGATGTTCCCACTAGGGATGGAGTGGGGGAGTGGGACGTGGAATTTCATGAGCTAGGGATGTGGTGGGATACCCCCACACACTGCTGAGCTATCCCTAAGGTGGCCCAGCACTAGCCCACAGAAGGGCAGGGCTGCTGATGGAAGTTGCCTCCCTGCTTCTCTGTTCTGAACTCCCACACAGGAGAGGAAGGCCAGAGAAAGTTAGGAGGGAAATAATCTGTAAATCAGTTCTGCAGGTGACCAGACTAAGATAGGGACTGTGAGTTGTGATCCCAGGACTCCAGTGACCACCCAGCTTCCCACAAAGGTACCCCCAAAGGAATTGCTACAGAAAGCTCAGTGCAAAGTACCCTCTGATGCAGTTGTGCCAAGAAGTAGTCTTTCTAGCTTAGCTCTTTGATAGTTTTCTGTTGCTTTTTTGGAGTTTTTAATTTGTGTTTTTTTAATTAATTTGTGTGTGTGTGTGTGTGTGTGTGTGTGTGTGTGTGTGTGTGCGTATATGCCATGGAACATGTGAAGATCAGAGGACAATGTGTAGAAGTGTAGAAGTTGGTTCTTGGTCTTTCATGTGGGTCCCAGGGATTGAGTTCAAGTGGTCAGGTTTGGCAGCAAGCACATTTACCCACTGAGCTATCTTGCTGGCCCTCTTTTGATTGGTTTTTTTATTTGTTTTATTTAATTAAATTTTTTTTTGAGACTGTCTCACTATGTATTCTAGGTTGGCCTGGAACTCACAAACCTGTTTCAGCCTCCCAAGTATTAGGATTACAGGTACACACCATCAAGCCTGGCCTCCCAGCCAAGCTGCTGGGAAAAGGGTGGGGCCAAAAGGCACTGTCCCTGTTAGAGGAAGGGCAGTGTGGCAGCAGTAGTCATGGGCTTTAATGAATGGTCCTGCCTCCACAGCTGCTCTGCACGTGGCTGTGAGCCAACTTGGCTGTGCAGCAGCAGGACCACCCCTGGCTGAACCCAGGTCCGTCTCCATGTTTTACTCTTCTTCCAGGACTGGAATTGGGAAGGGGGTTTAAATGTTCTCAGGCCACCTGTAATACATAGACACCAAAGAGAGGGTCTGTATGATCCCCAAATTGTAGCACGAGGCCACCAAGATCATGCAAGACGCTATCAATGAGTTCAGTGGCACACCAGAGGAGATGCGCATCACGGTTGCCAACGTAGACTTGGCCCTGAGCAAGGGCCATGTGGACATGGCACTGAACATGCTGAGGGGCATTACGCCCAAGCAACCCTACTACACGGAAGCCAGGGAGAAGATGGCCAGCATCTACCTGCACACCCGCAAGGACATTCGCCTCTACATCGGCTGCTACCTGTGAGTTCCCCTGGGGCAGACAGTACCTTTTCCTGCAGTGTCTCGGGGAGGATTTCCTCAGGTTGTGTGCTTTCAATGTGAGTCTCCAGAGTGCATCCCCAGAGTGCCTTAAACCAAAGTATGGACATCCCATAGGTCTCCCTGCCTGTGAGTGAGTTTGGAGAACCCTTAGTCCTGCCCGCTTGCCCTCCCCCTGCATTCTCTGCATGACATAGCTTAATTCTGATGAGAGACTATGGGTCTGATCCCCACGCTAATGCCAAAGGAATCATGAGAACACATTCATGCCCTGGCCCCTCACTCATCCCATCCCTGAAGAATGATGCAGGACCTCAGAAGTGACCAGTGTACGGTGGGTGAGGAAGGAGAACAGAGATTGGAAGCCCTGCCCCTCTCTCTCTCTCTAAGATTTGGTGTTGGGACATTGAAGGAACCTTCCTAGTCCTTTTCTCCAGGCAAAACTCTAGTCAGTTTTGGGGGGTGGGGAGCTGGTAGAGTAGGAAGTATGTTTAACAGCAGAAACCAATCAGCAGGGTGATGTGGCTGGATTGGGTTTCAGGGAGAGCAGTGTGGGGTTGGGAGGGGGCTCATCAGTGGTGTGTTTGCCAGGCATGTACAAGGCCCTGAGTTCCATCCCTAGCATTAAGAGCTGGGCATGGTGGCACACGCCTTTAGTCCCAGCACTTGGGAGGCAGAGGCAGGCAGATCTCTGTGAGTTCAAGGCCAGCCTGGTCTACATAATGAGTTCCAGGCCAGCTGGGACTACAGGGAGACCCTGTCTCAAAAAGAGAGAGAGAGAGAGAGAGAGAGAGAGATTTTCTTTTCTTTTTTTCCAACAATCAGAATGGTCACGTGACCCTCATATACTTACTCTGGAAACGTGGAATAACAAAATGCTGAAAGTATGAGTCTCTCAGGCTGAGTGTGGTGGCGCACACCTTTGATCCCAGCATTTGGGAGGCAGAGGCAGGCGGATCTCTGTGAGATTGAGGCCAGCCTGGTCTACATAGCAAGTTCAGGACAGCTGGTTTTTCTAAGAGACCTGTCTCAAAAAAGAAAAAGACAGTGTTGCTGGGGATGTAGCTCAGTTAATGAAGTGCATGCCTGGCATGCACAAAGCCCTGGGTTCCATCCCCAGTGTAGCATCAAACAGGCATGGCAGCCCACACCTGTAATAGTATTTGGGAGGTAGAAGCAGCAGATTCAGGAGCTCTAGGCCAGCCTGGGATACATGGACCCTGTCCTAAAAAGACAAACCGAAACAACAGAGTAGTGTGACTGCTCATACAGGTCTGGAGGGATGGGACGGTTCCAGCTGTGACCCAGATAACAGGTGAGAACCTGGCTAAGATGGCTGTCACAGAGCTTCACTGGGTCTCTATAACTCCTGGATGAACAAGCATCAGTCAGGCCCTGGCCTGAGAGAAGCTGCTCATTCTTCCTGCAGGGAGCTCTGCCAACATCTGCCCGGTCCCCACAGCAGCCTGCTACTAGGCGATGCTTTCATGAGCATTCAGGAGGTGAGTGAGGGTCTTCCTAGCCATGTTATCTAGCTCCCAAGCTCACTTCTCCAGTGGGACAGAAGAGAGACCCCTCCTATACTTTTCCTACCAGCCTGAAAAGGCCCTGGAGGTGTATGACGAGGCCTATAGAAAGAACCCACGTGATGCCTCCCTGGTCAGCAGGATTGGGCAAGCCTACGTGAAGACCCACCAGTACAGCAAGGTAAGGCTGGCCTGGAAGGGGCAGGGAGCGGGAAGGAGAGTCCATGAGCGGGGGGAGGGGGGGTCAGAAGGGGAGTTTTGTCTTTTCCCTTCCAGCTCCCTGCTGGGTGGAATGAAGAAGGGCGAATTCAGCCAATCTTTACTACTGCCCCCACCTATTCTAGGGCCTGCTCTAGCTGAAGCCTGAGCCCCGTGCAGAGGGGAGCCTCTCTTCATCTGGCCATCTGTGTGCTGGAGTGGCTACTGAGGGTACATGGTGTCAGTCACCCACATGCAGAGCCAGACTGAGGCCAATGTTTCCTGTTTGTACTAAGGCCATTAATTATTACGAGGCTGCCCAGAAGATCAGTGGGCAGGACTTTATGTGCTGTGATCTGGCTGAACTGCTCCTGAAGTTAAAGAAGTTCCACAAAGCAGAAAAGATTCTGAAGCAAGCCCTGGACCGTGACTCGGGTGAGGCAACACTCAAACACATTCCCACCTCCGCCTCCTTCACTTTCCCATGTTAGCTGGGGAACTGAAGCTGGCCTTCGACATCAACGCAGCTTCCCCAGGCCATACCATATTGACTGGCATTTCCTTCTAGCTGTCAAAGACATCCCGTCCATGATGCATGAGGTTAAGTGCTTGCTTCTGCTGGCCAAGGTTTACAAGAGCCATAAAAAAGAAGAAGTGGTACAAACACTGAACCAGGTAACTGACAAGTAGATCCAAGGTCTTCTCGTGTCCTGGTGTCTGTGGAAGGAGGATGGTTTGGTCTATAAGGGCAGAGACCTTCCACAAGAGAGGCCCATCACCCTCCACTTGTTCTTGCATGCTCATCAGTGATGGTGCATCTAAGAGCTCGGGGCTAGGCAGGGCTGAGGAGGGCCAGAAGGTGACTGTCTTTAAGGAGGATGGTGTGATGATTGGAGTGACACAGACAGTGGTTCTCAATCATTGAAAGTTCGATACTGACTTTGCTTTCCTTCCATCCCTTCCCTTCCTTTTCCCTCCCTTCCTCCCTCCCTCTCTTTCTCTCCTTCCCTTCCTCCCTCCCTTCCTTCCTCCCTCCCTTCCTTCCTTCCTTTTCCTTTCCTTCTTTCCTTATTTTTTCAGACAGCATCTCTCTTTTTTTTTTTCCCTTTATCTTTTTGAGACAGAGTCTCCCTGTAGCCCCAGCTGGCCTGGAACTTGCTATGTAGACCAGGCTGACTTCAAACTCACAAAGATCCGCCTGCCTCTGCCTCCCAAGTGCTAGGATTAAAGGCTTGAGCCACCACACCTAACTTGAGACGGCATCTCTTATATCCCAGGCTAGCTTGGAACTAGCTGAGGATGACCTTGAATTTCTGATCCTTCTGCTTCCACCTCCCAAATGCTGGGATTACAAGGATTTGACAGCACACCTGGTTAATTAGATGCTGAGGATTGAACCCAGGGTTTCATGCATGTTAGAAGAGCATTCTACCAACTGAGCCAGGTCTGGCCTGTCTCAACCCATCTTCTTTCCATACTGGGCTGCCCCTTGTCCAAGAGCCCTTAGCTGTTCCTGTCATACTTTCTTTGCTTTCCACCCACAGTGTGTGTTGCCACTTGTTCCCAGGGTACATTGTGTGGTTCTAGAGAGACACCTCCCCACTTCTGATCACTTGAAGTGACTTATTTACCACCAAATCCCCATTCACCTCTTTGGCTCTTGGAGAGTCTAATGCTAAATTTGCACCCAGTTCCAGCAACTTGGTTCTGGAATGGTCTTCTCTTTCCTGTTTCTTACCTAATTTATTTCATGTCATGGATATATGTGGGACCTGCCTCAGATTCTAGAAAGGCTACATATTCAGAGCGAATGTACCCATCAAGACACAGCACAGGAGCTAAAGAGATGGCTTAGTGGTTAAGAGTACTGGATGCTGTTGCAAAGAACCTGAATTTGATTCCCAGCACCCACACGGTAGATCACGGTTGCATGTAACTTCAGCTCTAGGGAATCAATGCTCTCTTCCAGCCTCCTTGGGCACCCACGTGCATGTGTTATGCATAAACTCATGTAGGCACACACACATACACATAATTTGAAAACAATAACCTAGGGTTGGGGATATAGATTAGTTGATAGAGTGCTTGCTTAGTATGCACAAAGCCCTAGATCCAGTCCCTAGCACTACATAAATCCAGCATGGTGGCATGCTAGATTTCCTATACTCAATAAAATCAGCAGGATCAGAAATTTGGGGTCATTTTTGATTACATAATGGATTTGAGGTCAGCCTAAGATACATAAGATCCTGTCTGAAGAAAGAAAAGAAAGAAAGAAGGAAGGAAGGAAGGAAGGAAGGAAGGAAGGAAGGAAGGAAGGAAGGAAGGAAGGCAGGCCAGCTTTGGGCACCTACTGTTTGTCGCTCTATCCTGCAGGCAGCCAAAGCAATTTAGACACAGAACCTCAAGGTGTGATGGAGGCAGGGGAGTACAATGGAGAGTTTTGTTTGTAACCCTTTGCTTCTGCTCCTACCCCAGGGGCAGTGCCAGCCTGCCTTCTGTGTGCTGATCAAGTGGCCCAGATTCCTCAAGCACCCCTGGGATGCCTTTTCTAACATTGCCAACTCTGAAACACTGGGACTGGTGTAGTATGGCACATGGAGCTCATGGTTTCTGATCCTAGCTTCATTGGTTTCCCAAGGCCTTGGACCTCCAGTCCAGGATACTGAAGCGTGTTCCTTTGGAGCAACCAGAAATGATCCCCTTCCAGAAGAAGCAGGCGGCCTCCATCTGCATCCAGTTTGGGGAGCACTACCTAGCAGAAAAGGACTACCCCAGTGCAGTGCGGTCTTACAAGGATGCTCTCTCATACTCACCTACTGACAATAAGGCAGGTAGCCCTCAAAATAACATCCTGTAACTCCATTGGTAGAATACTTGCCTAGCAAGCACAAAGTCCTGAGTTCAGTACCCAGTAGCTTGCAGACCCAATATGGTGCACACCAGTAATCCCAGCACTTGGAAGGTAGAGACAGGAGGATCAGTTCTGGATTATCCCTTCTGTGCTCCTCCGTCCAGGAGCAAAGGCTGTTCTTCTCTTAGGAGCTGCAGATGTGATGAGTGTGGGAGGTCAAGAAGGTCAGCCAGCAGTGGCCTCTGGAGTGAGAAGTGTCTCTAGCTGATCCTGGGCCCTCACCTACTGCAGCCCTTAGAGCAAGGCCAGGAAGGCCCACTGTGGACCACCCTTTGTGAAGGGTAGAATGGGAAAGATACTGCTGAAAATCACATCAGCCTGATCTTTTCAGGCTCCTATTGGTGGTGGAGTGATGGTAAGGGTTGTGGCTGCCAGAGCTGTGTGGGCATGAAGCCCAGGCTAAGTTTCTAAGTGGACTGAGAGGTGTGGTTCCAAATGAGGAAACAGTTCACACCGAGCTCACACTAAGAATAATGAAATTGGCAGTTAGTAGAGTGCTTGCCTAGCATGAACAAATCCTCAGCACCTCATAAAAACAGGTGTGGTGGCACATATCTATAATCCCAGCACTTGGGAGGTAGAGGCAGGAGAATCAGAAATTCAAGGTTATCCTTCACTATGTAGTAAGTTGGAGGGTAGTCTGGGATAGATAAGATTCTGCCTCAAAAAAATAAAAAGGGACCTGGAGAGGTGGCTCAGCAGTTAAGAGCACTGACTGCTCTTGCAGAGGACCCAGGCTCAGTTCCCAGCACCCACATGGCAGCTAACAACCATCCTTAACTCCAGTTCCAGGGGACCCAGCTCCCTCTTCTGGCCTTCAAGGGCATTGCACAGCATGGGTACACTTACATATAGGCAAAACACATATACACATAAAAATATATATATTTTTTAAAATCCAGGCATGGTGGCACACACCTTTAACCCTACTCAGGAGGCAGAGGCAAGTGGATCTCTGTGAGATTGAGGCTAGCCTGATCTACATGAGTTCCAGGACAGCTGGGGCTATAAGGAGACCCTGTCTCAAAATGACCAAAAAGTAAAAAGTAAAAAAGAGCTAAGCCGGACATGGTGGTGCACACTTTTAATCCCAGCACTCGGGAGGTAGAAGCAGGTGGATCTCTGTGTGTTCAAGACCAAGTTCCAGGCCAGCTGGGGCTACAGGGAGACCCTGTCTCAAAAAAAAAGACAAAAAAAAAAAAAAAAAAAAAAAAAAAAAAACCTAACTAAATAAAAAGCTTAGCCAGGCATGATGGCATATATCTTTACTCCTAGCACTCAGGAGGCAGAGGCAGGGGGATATCTGTGAGATCAAGGCCATCCTGGTCTACGCAGTGAGTTCCAGTCCAGTCAGTGCTATATAGTGAGACCCTTGTCTCAAGAAAACAAAACAAAAGCGAAAAAATGGATATTGGTAGCCAATACACTCAGTCACTCAATGTTCCTTCCTTTAGCACACCCCTAATACGTTCCAAGTTCCTAGGCCTTGGAGACAGTGGGACATTGTCCCTGCCCACAGATTGCCCTCAGGCAAAGGAGGGTAAGCATGTGGGAGATTCTGATGTTGCCCCTGGAATCCAGGGCACAGAGGAGTGAATCCATACCAGAGGCCAAAGGATGAGATGATCAGATCAGCCAGGCCCCAACTGTCAGGATGTGGTTGGTAAAACCAGTGCAGTGGTGAGAGTACCTAGAGGATGGAAAGGTAGAGCGCTATTGTTGGACAATCTTCACCTTCAAAGCCCTGCTTTGAAGTCAGGGCTGACAGACATGGGCAGTGGGGAAAGTCATGGTCAAAGATGACTGCAGAGTTTTCCCAGGATGGGCACTGGCTTATTCGTTCTATCCTGCCTTGTCACAGGTGGTGCTGGAGCTGGCTCGGCTTTACCTGCTCCAGGGGCACCTTGACCTGTGCGAGCAGCACTGTGGTGCACTCCTACGGATGGAGCAGACCCAAGAGACAGCCCAGGTGGTAGGAGACATTTTCTCTCCCAGCCCCCCTTGTGGCCTTGGAGCCTTGTGACCAGATTTGGGCGTCTTCCTAGCCTCATGACTTCTGATGCCTGACTGGCCCATCCTGATAGGCTTTGGAGCCCTGGTCCTGCCGGCTGTTTTGCCCTTCAAGGGGAGGGGTGGGCCAACCAGCAGGGGGCAGCAGCAACCTCCTGGGCGAAGCTGAGGGGATGGGAGAGGGTGGATTGGACCAGCTCCAGGGGAAACCACACCCACTATTAGGTGAAAGTTGGGTGGGACCCACTCCTGGGCTTCAGGAAGTGTGTGGGATAGCCCTCCCAGTCCAACTGTCTAGCTGTCTCTCACTCATGCCTCCTCCAGGGCCACCCAAGGCCCATACCCTACAAAGCCTGGAAGGAACCCTCTACCTTCTACAATCTTCACCTTCTCATGGGGACCCCAGAACACAGGCTGTCTGGGGCAGCTTATCCCAGGCTACCTTGGGAGTCTTTTCTGCCCACCCTACTCCCAAGCTGCTGTCAGGAATGCACAGGGTATGTGTCCTCTGATAGATGCTGGCCGACCTGATGTTTAGAAAACAGAACTATGAAGCAGCCATCAGTCACTACCGCCAAGTGCTGGAGAAAGCGCCAGGTAACTGGGACCATGAAGACTACTTCCATTTGTCCCCACCCAGCCAGGGTAGCTGTCCCAGAGAAGGGTGGGCCCCCTCCCCTCCTTCCTGACTGGGCAGAGGAAGCCCCTTCCTTCCTGATTGTTCCCAGAGAGACAGGAAACTGATAAAGACCCAGAACGTGGCGGCCCTTCCCAAGTCCAGTTCCTGGACCCAAGCACTTGGCTCTGAACCCAGGACAGCCTGTCTATCCTGAATCACAGCCACTGGGGCTTAACACAGTCCTCCTCTGTGGTCACACCCACTTGAAGGGCACTGGAGATTCTTCCCCGATAATCTGCTTAGTACTTGCTACTGAATGAAACCACTGCTTCAAGGGTCAAACCCAAAGCCCACAGCAGGGGTCCAGCAGGCCCAAAGTAGTATGCACCACAGGCTCAACAGGCCATGGCAGTTAGGGGTGCAGGTCTTGGGAGTCAGGCTGCCTGGGTCTGAATCCTCATGTCACAGAGTATTGTGTAACCTTTGACAAATTCCTTCTCTGTGCTCAGCTTCCTCACCTGTCAGAAGGGGACAGGAAGAATGTCTGTCCAACCCTGTAGCTAGATCATGGGTAGAACACGCAAAGCCAGGTACAGGGTAAGAACTATAATAGGTAGCTACAGCTGTCACTATTTGTATGTGTGTGCACATGCATGCTTGGATATGTGTACACATGTGTGCACATGCTTGTGGAGGTCAGAAGTCAACCTCAGTGTCATTTCTTAGGCACTGCCCACCTTGATTTTGTCTGTATGTGGTGTGTGTGTCTGTGTGTACCTAGGGGCCAGAGGAGGACATCAGGTGTCCTGTTCTATCACCCTTCTCCCTTATTCCCTTAAGACAGGGTCTCTCACTGAACTTGGAGTTAGATTGACAGCCAATAAGCCAGTGATCTTCCTGTCTGCACTCTCCACAGCACTGGGGTTACAGAAACATGTCACCATGCCCACCACAGCGATGCCTGGCTTTTTACATGGTGCTGAGGATTTGAACTCAAGTCCTCATGCTTGTGCAGCAAGCACTTTTCTAACAGCCATCTGCTGCCCCTGCTGTCACTGTTTTAAGCACTATATTATCCACTCCCTACTGGAAGTCAGTGGAGCTATAGAATATCTTTGCTTGGCTCAGACAAGTAGTGTCTCTTGGATCTTCCTCAAGGCTCAGCAGCCCCTGCTTCCCTCCCCGGCATGCTCAGCATGCCAGCCTGATGCAGCTGTTGGTAACTGCATACTGGAAATTTCTGCTCTCTTATTTTAGACAATTTTTCAGTATTGAATAAATTGATGGATCTGCTACGACGGGGTGGCAAGCTTGAAGAGGCTCCTGCCTTCTTTGATCTGGCCAGGAAGGTGTCTAGTAGGGTGCCTTTGGAGCCAGGGTTCAGCTACTGCCAAGGCATCTATTGCTGGTGAGTTAAGCTCAAGTATATTGAGGAGCAGCAATGGGACAAGAAGCCTCCCTAGCCTACTGCTGGGGTCTGGCTCAGCAGCAGGGGAAGCAGAAAGTCATCCCTCAGACCAGGAAGCAAGGCCTTGGGCAAACAGAGTGGCCCCTGTGCATCCATGCACCCAGGACACACATAGTTCCCCTAACTGATTCCTGGCATTTCCTCCACTCACTTCAGGCACATCGGGCAGCCCAATGAAGCCTTGAAGTTCCTAAACAAAGCCCGCAAGGACAGCACTTGGGGTCATAACGCCACCTACTACATGGTGCAGATCTGTCTGAATCCGGACAATGAGATAATAGGTGGAGAGGCTTTTGAGAGCCTGTTGGCTGATGGCAAGTAAGGAGGGGAGCGGGTAGGGAGAGGCTTCAGCCTCTGGGTGGAGGCCAGAGAAGGGACATACAGCAGGCCGTCAGCCTGAGGCCCATGCCTACAGCTCTGCCAGTAGGAAAGAGTGCCAACAGCAGGGGGTGCGTACTGCAGAGAAGCTGCTGCGGGAGTTCTACCCACATTCGGACTCTGGGCACACCCAGCTGCGGCTGCTACAGAGCCTCTGCCTGCTGGCCACCAGGGAGAAGGCCAACGTGGAGGTGGCACTGGGCACCTTCATCGAGATGGCCCAGGCTGAGGTGCGAGGGCTAGGGGTAGGAACTGGTGGGCAGAGGTCAGGATGGTAATGACAGCCAAGGTACCCAAATCCACTTCCCACCTGTGTGCAGAAGGACAGCATCCCATCACTGCTGGCCATGGCACAGGCCTATATGCTGCTGAAGCAGATCCCAAAGGCCCGCACACAGCTGAAGCGCCTGGCCAAGGCTCCGTGGACACTGGAGGAGGCAGAGGACCTGGAGAAGAGCTGGCTCCTGTTAGCAGACATCTACTGCCAAAGTGGCAAGTTTGACTTGGCCACGGAGCTGCTGCGCCGCTGCCTGCAGTACAACAAGGTGAGAGCCTCTAGAGTTGGAAGCAAGAATAAGCAGGATGGGATGAGGTGGAGAGAGGCTAGTAGGTGACAGACCTGGCCTGGATCCAGGAGCACTGGACAAGGGGCAAGGAGGAAGAATCCAAGCACATGGGAAACAGGCACAGCCAAGAGAAGAAGGGGGCAGAGAATACCAAGGAAGTAGGAAATCAGTGGACTTGAGGGAGATGCAACAGTTAGATCCCATTGTGTGGAATATTAGCAGAGGGGCTTTGTACAAAGGGGTTATGCCGGGGCTAGAGAGATGGCTCAGTGGTTAGGAGCACTGGCTGTTACAGAAGACCTGGATTCAATTCCCAACACCCACATGGAGGCTAACAACCATCTATAACTCCAGTTCCAGGGGATCTGACTCCTTCCTCTGGCTTCTGCAGGCATTGCATTCACAGGTGCACTTATATGCAGGCAAAACACTCATAAAATATAAATATTTTTAAATGTTCAAGGGGGTCAGGTGTGGTGGCACATGCCTTTAATCCCAGCACTCTGGAGGCAGAGGCAGGAGGATCTCTGTGAGTTCAAGGCCAGCCTGGTCTACATAGTTCCAAGCCAGCTGGAGCTACAGGGAGACCCTGTCTCAAAAAAAAAAAAATTGTTCAAAGGGGTTCTATCTACTTTTGAATGAGTGGGACTCACAGTTAACCCCTTGCAAAAGTGAGGGTGCCCTTGGGGGTCCCTGCACAGTTTGGGTTAATGCTGCTCACTGCCATTCAATTACCCCCTTTTGGTCCCACCCTCATGGTGGCTGTTGCTGGGCAGAGGTGCTAACTGTCTTTCCCTGCAGTCCTGTTGCAAGGCCTATGAGTACATGGGTTTCATCATGGAGAAAGAGCAGTCTTACAAGGATGCAGCCACCAACTATGAGCTGGCCTGGAAATACAGTCATCAGGCCAACCCCAGCATTGGTAAGGCAATCACCCAAGGTACCAAAGGGTAGATTTGGGAGGGACCTACACACCCTGACCCTAGAAACTCATCCTGTCTGTTCCCTAGCAGTTTGAGGGAGTTCTTGGTCATCAGGGTGTCCTCACTGCCCCCTGACAGGTTTCAAACTGGCTTTCAACTACTTGAAGGATAAGAAGTTTGTGGATGCCATTGAAGTCTGCCACAGTGTAAGTTACCAATATAGACCAGAAGATGCAGTGGCTGGGCCCCTTGCTTGATACTGTATGTCCATTCTGTCTCTCTACCAGGTTCTGACGGAGCACCCCAACTATCCCAAGATCAGAGAGGAAATTTTGGAGAAAGCCCAGGGGTCCTTGAGGCCCTAGCTGTGGCCAGAGGGGGCTTGGACCTGTAGAAGCCACCAATCTACAGAAGTCTCATGGGGAGGGTAGGAAGTGAATCAACTGAGAAATAATTCAGAAAAGGACATATTCTCTCGATTTCTATATTGTATGTGGTTTATTTGGAATCATGCCTCATTGAGCCTAAGGGTTCCGGAAGCTCTACATTTTTAAGGAGATTAAGTAATTTTGCTATAGGTAGGGAAGAGATCAACTGGCTTAGCTTCTGCTGGGCTTTGATTTGAAGGCTCCTTTCTAACACTTGTCCCCCCCTCCCCGCCCCCCCGCCTTTTTTTGAGACAGAGTCTCCCTGTAGCCCCAGCTGGCCTAGAACTTGCTATATAGACCAGGCTGACCTCAGTCTCACAGAAATCTGCCTGCCTCTGCCTCCTGAGTGCTGGGATTAAAGGTATGCACCACCACACCTGGCTAACAGTCCCCACTTTTTTTTTTTTTTTTTTTTTTGTCTTTTTTGAGACGGGGCCTCCCTGTAGCCCCAGCTGACCTAGAACTCATTATGTAGACCAGGGTAACCTCAATCTCACACAGATCCACCTGCCTCTGCCTCCCAAGTACTGGGGCTACAGGCATGCGCCACCATGCCCGGCAACAGTTTCCCCTTTTGTGCCACACTTCTGAGGGAGCAGAACAAAGAGGGAATCTCCCAGTGGAATGATTAACATCCTTTCACTACTTTGAAATGCTCCCCCTCCTTCCACCCCAGTCTTGTCCCCAGTATCTTGGACCTAAAGCAGCAACTGTTCCTTCCTGCCATGATGCCCTCTGAATCTGCTGTGGCAATGAGCCTAGGATGCACTGGGCAGTAGCTCAGGCAGGAGGACTAGCTACAGAAAAGCCCCAGACCTTAGGTCCCTCACAAGAGGACAAGCAGATCCTCAAGGCTTATTGTCCTACTCTGTCCACACCTCTGTCCCCACTCTCTCCCCAGAGTCTTCAGGCTGGTCCTTACCAGTTTACGACAAGCCTAATTACCACTGAGTCTTATCCCTCCCAACCCCACACACTTCAGTTTTTTATAAGACAGTGGCCAACAAACTCATCCTCCAGGATCCCTTTTAATGCCTAAAGGATCAAACACTGTGGTCCCTATCTGATGGGACCAGGTAGATACTATTCATTTTAACTGATAAGAAGGTGACAGGTCACCTTTGCTATGGCCCATACAGCTCCCATACAAAAAAACTTCTGTTTTTCAGGATGAAAATTACAGGTTTGGTAAGATGGTTCACTGGTTAAGAGGGTCCAGCACCTACATGGCAGCTAACAATCATCTGTAACTCCTGTTCCAGGGGGATCTGACACCTTCTCCTCACCTCCATGGGCATTGAATGACACGGGTGTACTTATACACACGCAGACAATACACTCATACACAAAAATATAAAATAATAAATTAAAAAACAAGAAAATTATGGATCAGTTCAGCCTTCAGGAAAGGAACTCTGAACTGGGAATCAATTGGTAAGCCTAGAGTTTCTACACATGACCTTCCCAACTGCCTGCCCTCTCTTAGTTTCAGTGTCCCCATCTGTGGTAAGAAATTAGACTAGACCTGGCCTGGGGATGTGGCTCAGTTGTGGAGCACCCGCCTAATATGCATGAAGCCCTGGGTTGGTTGTTTCTTTTTTTTTTTTTTTCTTTTTTTAGTGTATATTTTTGAGACAGGCTCCCTGAAACCCCAGCTGGCCTGAAACTCACTATGTAGACCAAGCTGGCCTTGAACTCAGAGATCCACCTGCCTCTGCCTCCTGAGTGCTGGGATTAAAGGTATGTGCCTTGGGTTTGACTCCTAGCACCACATAAATCAGCCATGGTGATGCACACCTATAGTCTCAGCACTTGGGCAGTGGAAGCAGAAAGATCAGAAGTTCAAGGTCATCCTACTTGGTGAGTTGGAGGCTATCCTGGTCTACATGAGATCCTTTCTCCATCTGTTTCTCAAATCATGGTGTCACTTTCTGCTAGTAATATACAGAAATATTTTGTTTATTCTATTATTTATAATGCTGGGGTCAAAGAAAGGGTCTCATGTTTTCTAGGCATTTACTGAACACCCCCAGCCTTAAATTGCACAACCATCTGCCTGTTCACATATTTATATGACAGAGAATAGCCAGCACAACAAACTTGGGAATTCTTGGGTGCCATTGATAAAGATGGGTATCACTTTTAAATCTCACATTTATATTGATATGATGTATTTAAAGACACATACTGAGAACTGGACATAGTATAACCCTATTCAGGTACAATACCAGTATTCTGGAGTAGAAGCAGGATCGCTGAAAGCTTAAGGCCAGCCTGGTTTACATAGTACCAGGCTGGCCAGGGGTATATAGCAAGGTGCTGGCTCAAAATAAATGTCTAGGGTGGAGAGATGGGTAATGGTGCCTACCACCAACTCTGACAGTTTGAGTTCAATCCCCTGGTCACATGTGGTAAGAAAGAACTGACTTCCACAAGTTGTCCTCTGACTTCCACACATGAATCATGGGACACATAAGTGAGTTTTCACACAGTAAATAAAAATGTAACTTGGGGCTGGAGAGATGAGTTGGCAGTTAAGAACACTGGCTGCTCTTGCAGAGTACCCAGGTTCAGTTCCCAGCAGCCACAGGGTGGCTAACAACTGTCCATAACTCCAGTTCCAGGGGATCCGACACCCTCTTCGGATCTCCTCGGGCATTGCACAACATGAGTGCACTTACATGCAGGCAATACACTCATATACATATAATAAAAATTAAAAAAATTTAAAAACTTTAAAATGACTAAGTAAATAAATAAAACTATCTCAAAATAATTTAGTATGGGTAGAATGTAGATGTGGTTTTCAAGAAGCCAAGTATAAACCTGACATGGTGACATACACCTTTAATCCCAATACTAGGGAGGCAGCAGAAGGCAGATCTCTGTGAGATGGAGGCCAGCCTGATCTATAAAGCAAGTTCCAAGCCAGCTGGGGCTAGGCTATAAGGAGACTCTCTCAAAAAAGAAAGGGAAGAGGAAGAGGAGGAACCAGCCAGATGTAGGGCTAGAGAGATGGCTCAGCAGTTAAGAGCACTGGCTGCTCTTCCAGAGGACCCAGGTTTGGGTCCCAGCACCCACATGGCAGCTAACAACTGTCAGTAACTCCAGTTCCAGGGATTCAGCACCCTCTTCTGTCTTCTTAGGGTTTGTTTACACCTGGTACACATACATGGAAGCAAAACACTCATATATATATACAATAAAGAGGTCAGGGGTTGGAGAGATGGCTCAGCAGTTAAGAGAACTGGTTGCTCTTGCAAGGACCCAGGTTTGATTCCCAGCACCCACATGGTAGCTAACAACTGTCCTAACTCCATTTTCAGGGGATCTGATATCTTCTTCTGACTTCTGTGAGCATTGTACGACACAGGTACCTTTACATACATGCAAGCAATACACTCATACACATAAAAATAGTAAAAATAAATAGGGTTGGAGAGATGGCTCAGTGGTTAAGAGCACTGGCTTTGGCTGCTCTTGCAGAGGACATGGGTTTAGGTACCTAGCAAGGGACTTTTAGAAAGAATTTTAGTTGTCCTGGATCGTTGGTAGGTATTGTTTTTCTTTTCCTTTCTCCTGGTGTTGGGGATAGAACCCAGGGCCTTGAGAGTGCCAGGCCAGTGTTCCTTCATAGAGCTCCAGTCCCAGCCCTGGGCCTCTTCTAACTTCCTGCTAATCACATGCATGGCCTCTTGTATGAGTCGGTGAACTGGAATGCTTCCCCTAAGTCTCTACAGTCTTTCCAATAGGAACATCCAGTCCCTTTTCCGAATGTGTTTTACAAGTTTTGTCAGGGCAGGTTTGTTAGGAGGCGGGGCTATTTGGAGGGCAGTACTGTAAAGAGATTGCACGTCTGCCATGTTTTGTCTTCATTTATATCAGCCAACAAAGCTCCCAATAACTGACCCTGTGGCTCTAGGAGTAGGCAAGGCCAGTTCAGTCAGGGCCCTAATCTGTGAAGGAGCTGGTAGGGATGCTGGGGTTGCTCAGGGCTGCCACCAGAACCCTTGGGTTGTCAGAGACGACTCTCAGAGCCCTTGGAGAGAGGTAGATGTTACATGGTTCACACAAGAACCATCTCTGCACAAGGATTCTCCAGGCTTCAATGAAAAGTACATGTGGCCTCAACTACAGGCCAAGCACTGAGTCTTCTAATGGTCACTGATGTGGTCATGTCATGGCCATGCATGTCCAGAGGCTACCTAAAAGGAGTCAAAAGATACCTTACAGGAGTCAAAAGGCAAGGGTTAACACAGACAGGCTGAAACATGAAGACAGAATCAGAGTTGCAAGCATGTACATAGGCTTTATACATGCTCTAGGCACTCTTCAAGGTGCTGTGCATGAATGAATCAAACCAGCTTATGAGATGAGCAGTATTACAATTTGCACAGTATTGAGGAAACCCAGGCACCAAGCAGGTCATTTGTATAAGACCCCTCAGTAGGTAGTGGGAGAACTGTGATTTGAACCCATCTGTCTGGGTGTGGGACAGCAGAGACTGGCAGCACAGAGTCTCCTGTGCTCATTCCCCTCCCAGGGCCTGTGCAAGTCACTATCATTCCTAACCGGGAAATAGACCTGCCTCCTCATGCTCCAGTCTGGGGCTCCCCAGAGAAGGGTGCAGCCTGGCCTGCACCTCTGGCCTGAGCCCTACTCAGGCTGGGCTGCTTCAGGAGACAGGTCTGACGAGTCAGATGAGGTTCTGCAGCTTCCGGAGCTCAAGTCCCCAGGGACTACAGCTGCTGAGCCCTGTCACCAGGCCAGGCCTCCAGGAACCACATCCCACTGCCCTGCCCTGCCCAGACCTGAAATGGGCTACATCTTCTGGGCCAGGAGGACTCAGAGCAGTGTGTACATGTGCAAAGGGGGGTACCCTTACCAGTCCAAGCAAACAGCTCCATCTCAACCCCCTGCCATCCCAGATGACACTAGCAAAGAATGGGTTAATCCAGGGGGAAAACTGCTCCCCTCACAGCGTCTCAGCTGGCTTCCTGCCTGCAAGCTGACTGGTCTGCCTGGAAGGAAGCCCAGTGTGTTGTGTGCCCTCTTGCCCCTCAACACAGCCTGTGTCCACACTACCCTGCAGCACCCCATTGCTTCCTGGGGGTTTACCTATCTCTGTTTCCCACCCCCACTAAGGCAGACCACACATAAAAATAGAGCCTCTTTATTGGTACCTGTCAGCTCAGGTACAATGTGTTCCCACAAGCACCCAGGCTATCAAGGCCTCCTGAGCAGGGGCAGGCCCAGAGCCTGGGTTTCTTGGCACAGACACACAGAGAAATGAATAAATTATAGTTCTGACACTTAGAGACAATATAAAAATGCATAAAAATCCAACATCAGCTAATGCAGGGCATAAAAGCCCTCAAGAGCCACCCCTCCTTGCACGGCCCAGGGCGGTGGGGGGGCGCACATATGGTGGGCCAGGATTCCCTAGAAAGCCCTGAGACAGTGATCTGGGGCATGCTTCGTGTCCTGAGGCAGGCCCATTGCCCCTCTTTATACCTCTGGCACCCCATCCTACATGAGGGGTCTAATAGCCCATGGCCTTGGTGAGTGGGATATGGGCAGGGACAGGAAATAGAGGGGTGCAGTAGGGTAGAGGGAGTTTTGGTCACAGCTGGTCAGCCCAGCCTCTGCCCTGCTTAACTATCCAGTAGCCAGGCAGCTGACATAGGAGACCATAGGCTCAAACACACACCTGGTCCACACCAAAGCCCAGGCAGGGGACACTAAAGGGACTCTGCCCCCAACAATGTCCACCAACCAGAGAGGCTCAGCCAATGTGGCGTCAGTCCCCAAATAAATTACAGAAATAAATTACACAGTCTTCACAGTCCAGAAGTCTAGCCACCCATGGTTCTTCGGAAGCCATTAAGTGCCTAGTTTCAGCCCAGTCTCACTGTCTTTGGGCCAAGGAGCACCACACAGATGCAGAAACAGGGTTTGTGAGGCAGGACAGCCCCATTGCCTATTGCTCCTCCTGGCACACACTAGGAGGCAGAAGACCTCTGTTTGGATATGAAGATACCAGGCACTATATGTAAGAGGGATTCCCCTCCTCACCCTCTCTTCAGTACAGAAAAAAATAAAAATAAATAAATTCAGAGTGTTAATGTAAAAATAGGGAGTTGCCCATACAGCAGCCATGATGGCCAGGACCAGCCCATGGGAAACTGTTACATACATACAGACCCTACAGAGCACCCCAGATCACAAAAAGCAACGGGGCTCTTGGGCAGGGAAAAGGCACCTTAGTCCTTACACGGGCACAGGCTCCACTAGAGGTGCTAGGGCAGTGTCCTCAAACTGGCTTTCCAGAAGGGGAGCCAGAACATCGGTGGCTGGCTCCGACAGGCCCATGAGCGATTCTAGGAAGCAAGTGCTGGCATCCCTCGATGGAGAGAGGCTGGGCAAAGGGCCATGTAGGACCTCAAGGTTCTCCGGGCTATTGGACACCTTTTGGGAAGTATAATGAGGCCCCAGACTGTAATCCGGCAGGGCCTGGAACAGTTCAAAGGAGTCACAGGATGATAAGCTGAGCTCCAAGGAGCCGTTTTGGATGGCATCCCTGCCAGGGGCTCCAGAGGTGCCAGGGAGGCTGCCTTCTCTCAACCCTTCAAGTCCACTATTTAGGAAGCAGCTGGCATCTAGGTTGGCGTTCTCATCCAGGATGCTCGATGTGAGGCTGGAGCCAGATTGGCCCTGCGTCCAGCTGGCCAGGCCGCTGGGGTCACCAGTACCAAAGATGTCAGCCAGATGGAAGCAGCTGAGGTTATCGAGGTTCCCCATACCCCCTTCCTCCTCTTCTTCCTCCTCTTCAACACCGAGGTCTGAGTCACTGAAACTCAGGATCTGTGCTAGGCTGTCATCCATGCCAGACTGGAAGCCCGGACCTGGCAAACTGGGGTGATCGGGGCAGTCCAGGGCCCTGCTATTGCCAGATGATGAGGAAGATGAGGAGGAGGACATCGTAGAAGAATCAGTCATGTCACTGCTGCAGCTGTTGTCTCCCAGCTCACTGCTCACAGGGGGCTTGGCCAGTGGCAAAGTGGAGACCAGGGTTTGCTCAACAGGGGCAGGGGGACTCTCCTGAGTGGGTGACTCCAGTTCCTCCAGGTTCTCCGTCCTCTGCTCCATCTGCAGGCGGGTGAGCGTGTGGATGAAGTGTGTCTGAACTCGGGCCTGGTTGAATTCCACACGGCCGTTGGGGTTCTCACAGCCCTCACTGCAGCAGCCACAAGGGAATGCTGTATGGTCCATCTGCAGAGAAAGAGGCACAAGTGAGGACTTTGAGTGGTGCAGTAGACTACAGGCTCAGCTCCCCATTCCATTGAATCTAGTTTTTTGTTGTTTCAGTGGTGGTGCTAGGGACTGAATCCTGGACCTTGAATATGGTAGGCAAGTGCTCTACCACTGAGCTACATTCCCAGACATCATCTCACTGAATCCAGCCACGCACTGGCATTTGATGCCTGCCAGGCTGCAACTGCAGGTCTCAGGGTCACAACTGAATCCTGGACCTTGGGTATGGTAGGCAAGTGCTCTATCACTCGACCACTGAGCTACATTCCCAGACATCATCCCACCAAATCCAGCCACATACCTGGCATTTGATGCCTGCCAGGCTGCAACTGCAGGTCTCAGGGTCACAAACCCCATTACAGTGACAGCCACAATCCTCCCGAGACTGGCGCAGTGCCTGCAGCTCTCGCTTCTCCTCTCGATCAATCCTTCGAACACCTGAAGCCCGCAGCAGGGCCCGACGTTTCCGAGGTGGGTGGGGCTGCAGGAAGTTGATTTCCTCCAACCGGCCACTGGCCACAGCCACTGCCAAGTCCTTTTCTACAGAGGCATCATCGATGGCATCCACTGTGAGGGGCAGGCCTGCCTCCGTCTCAGGCATCCCAGTTGCTGAAAGCTGCAGTCAGGAGAGGGATGTGAGAGGTGTGGACATGTGACAAATACTCCCTAGAGTACCGGGCACTGTGTGTATCAGCAGCGAGGGCAGCCAAGTACACTGCACTTGGATATCTACCAAGTGTTTTTATTCATATCATCCCATATCAGGTGAAAAATCCTTTTCTAACAGGATACATATACTCCCAATGTCAGATCAGTCCCCACCCCAGTAAGGACAGAGAGATTTAAATACTGTGCTCTAGGCCCAGACTTTGCCTGGAGAGGCCTGCTTTTCTTTTGAAGACAGGGCCTTGCATTCAAACTATGTAGCAGAGGATGACCTCGAACTTCTAATCTCCCTGCTTCCATCTCCCAAGTGAGAATACTGGTGCGTCTACTATGCCTGGTTTATCTGGTATTGGAGATGGAACCTGTGGTCAGCAAACATTCTACCAACTGAACTGGCCCTTGAGCCCTCTTTAAGACTCCCACACCAGTCATAGGCCTGTTTCTCTCCATGTGTAACGTGCAAACTGGCACCTAGGGTTAAGACTCAAGAGCTGTGTGGGTCTCCCTACCTTCCACCTCAGTGTCTCCATTTTCTCCTCCTTCAAGCGTTGACGGAGCTTCTCACGCCGAGCCTGCGCTTGCTCCTGTGTAAACTCAGCTAAGGAGAACAGGCGAGAGGTGCTGTGGCGAGGAGCCATGCCCAGGGTACAGCCACCACGGCTAGGCACACTAGTGAATCCCTGGCACCTTGGGAAGTAATAGACAGTGATGCCATCGAAGACTACATGGCGTGGGCGCTCCCGGGGAGCCCGCTTCAAGATGGACGGGGCTGGAAGGGATAAGAAAAGAGTTGTCTGTGAGGCACAATGTAACCTTTAGGAAGATCATATAGCTTTCTCTCCTTATCCATCCCTTCTATCCACCCACCTCGGCTGTGAATTTAGAAGTCAGCTTGGCTGGGTCTAGAGCTGGTAAAACTGAACACCACACTCATGCCTTATTGACACCACTGGCTTATTGTCATTTATCAGTCCAAAGGACTGTATTCACAAGATTAAGCATCCTGTCATTGTTACCAGCTATTTATAGGTCCTACAGTTTCCTATAATTTATATTTATTAAGAGTTCTTTTAAAAAAATATTTTATTATTTTTATTTTAATGTGTTTGAGTATATTCCCTTCATGTATGTAAGCATACCCGTGTCACGCAATGCCGTGGAGGTCAGAAGAGGGTTTCAGATTCCCCTGAAACTGGAGTTAAGGATGGTTCATAGCCGCCATGTGGGTGCTGGGAATTGAGCCCAGGTCCTCTGCAAGAGCAGTTAGTGCTCCTAACCGCTGAGCCAACTCTCCAGCCCCAAGAGTTCTTTATATATGATGTCAAAGATAACAATCATGTTTAACTTTTCTATAGAAATATTTTAGAGGGCTGGAGAGATGGTTTAGTGGTTAAGAGCATTTGCTTCTCTTCCAGAGGTCCTGAGTTTGTTTCTCAGCATCCATGTCAACAGCTCACAACTGCCTGCAACTCCAGCTCCAGAAAATCCAACATCCTCCCCTCTGGCATCCATGACCACTCACATGCAAGTGGCATACACTCAGACAAACACACATGAGAAAAAAAAATGTTTTAAAGAAATATTTAAGTCTTAGGTTGACATTTCACAAAATAACTTTTAAGGTTTATGTCATTAAAAATACATATTGATCTTTCCCTTTGTTTGCATGTTCTGTAACAGACTTAGAAAGTCCTTCCCTTTGTAAGTTATTGATTACATATTAAGCTACATTATTGATAATCAACATATATTGTTATATTATTCTTATAAAATGGCCAAATATTGACAATTTCATATATTTCAACTTTTTTATTGTGTGTACACATTTGCATGCCTCAGTATATGTGTGGAGGTCAGAGGACAACTTGAAGGAGTTGGTGCTCTCTTTCCACAATGTCAGTTCTGGGGACTGAACTCAGGTCATTGAGCTTGGTGGCGAGTACCTTTATCTACTGAGCCACCTCAGTGGTACCATTTTTTTTTTTAAAAAATAGGGTTTCATACAATCCAAGCTGGCCTTAGATCGATTATGTAGCAAAGGATGACCTTGAATTCCTCATCCTCCTACCTGGACCTCCCAAGTGCTGGGATTATAGGAGCTTGCCACCAGGCCCTGAAACTTTGAGTTAATAAATTAATTTTACCAGGTGTGGTAGCACATGCCTGTAATCCCAGCACTCAAGAGGCAGAGGCGGATCTCTATAAGATCAAGGCCAGCCTGATCTACACAGTGAGTTCCAGGCCAGCTGGGGCTACAGGGAGACCCTTGCCTAATATAGATTCTAGGTACTAAAACTTCTGTTCTTAGTTTCTAACGCACAGGTATGTACATGACACATTGAAAGGTAAACCACATAGCTGTGGTATTAAAACTTCATAGGGAAGATAATTTGAGGGGAAAAATTATCTGAAAAGGTTCTTGGAGTAGAAGGAGCCATAACGAAGATCAAGGTTGAGAGACTCTAAGATCATCTTTCAGTTTGGAATGAGAATTATAAAAGCTTGAAAAATAACCAGGTACTTGGACATGGAGGTGCAGACCTGTAATCCCCGTTCTAGGGAGGTAGAAGCAGCATAACTGGGGGCCAGGCTAGGCTATATGAGACTGTCTCAAAAAGAAATAAAAGTCATCATCCCCTTTGGGAACATTCATACAAAAGCTACAAGGCAATGAAACAAGGGTGTGGCTTTCAGGCCCAGTAGCAGGGATGTTTGAGGCCTGGAACTAACTCTAGCTGGGATGGTGTAGGGCAGGGTGCACTGGGCAAATGAAACTGGAACAGACAGGAGGGTCCCCAAGGGAAAGGCCAGAACTATTCTGAGGAGCTGCATCCCAGACAGCACTATCCCCAAGGTCAAAAGAAAGTCAAGGTGGATCCCACAGTCTCTGGTAGTGCCAGTAGGCACTGCACCATGGGAAGGGGGCCACCCTGAGATAGCTACCACAGCTGAAAAGGCTTGTCCAAGGCCAACCAATTTCACCTTTCAGGAAGGAAGGAGGGGTGTGGTGGGGGTTGCCAGGGAAAGAAGACTCACGAGTGAAACTCTGGAGGCCACAGAGGTCCTGGTCAGGCAGGGGTGCCTGACCATATGGTTCCTCCTCATCTGAGTTCCAGGCAGGGGAGACAGAAGAACTGGGGGAGGAGGAGAAAGAGAAACTTCGGGAGGAAGAGGAGGAGGAGCTGAAAGAGAAGTCCTCCTCCAGCTGGTCAAACTTCCTCTTCAGCAGCCCAGTCATGGTGGTGCTTCTCGGACTCCAGGGGCTGGTGGCAGAAGGCCTGGAACAAGAGCAAGAGAGCTCACTAAGTGGTAGGCTCCCTTCACTGACCTCCTGTGGTGTCTTAGAACCTCACCCTCCATCCCAACCAGAAGCTACAGACACAGGGTAGGATCTCCAGGATGCTCCCAAGTCCCAGACAGCAGTCCCTCCCCCTCAAATGCATCTCACAGGCAAATTTGTATCCTGGTGCTTTTGGCCTCCCATAACCCTGCCCCCCCTACTCCAAGCCTTCCCAGTTAAACAGTCAGGCACCTTCCCCACAAGCACCCACCCCCACCCCCACCACACACACACACACACACACACACACACACACACACACACACATGCACACACAAAACCGCTGACGCATAGCAGGAGGCAGACAGACCAACAGATGGACTGACAGAGCTCAGCCCAGGCTGGCTCATCCCCACAGGAATCCTGGGGGCTGACTCACAGGAGGGTGATTCACAGGCACTTACATCTGTGTGCCTTTGTGTGCTTGCACGTGTGTGTGTGTGGGGGGGTCCCCTCTGCAGCCTGTAGCCTGCGCAGCCTCCCAGCCTCCCTCTAAGGGCAGACCTTTCCCACCACCACACAGGTCTGCCACCTTGCCCACAGCCTCAGGTCCTTGCTCCAGGGCCAGAATGACCAGATAGTCTTGGAACTGGCCAGTTTTGATATTGGCTCCATTCCCGGAGAAAAGGACTTTCCTGAGCCCCTCCCCTCCCTGGGATGGAGCTTCTCAGACTTTCCCTCAGAAACCCCCACGCCACAGGAAAAAAGTCCCATGCCTCTAGGCTGGACTGTGACCAGAGACTCCTTTGATCTTAAAATTCACCTATGTTTTGCTTTCTACTCTAATGTCTAACACCTAGGGTTAGTTCTCCTCTGTAAAACAAACCAACCTCTAATAGTGAAACTGAGTCCGTAAGCTGTTATGCCATCTCCCTTGCCTACACCTTCACAACAGAACAGGGACTGTCCTGTCAGCATCTGTAGGATGCAACCAAGTTTGGACAGGGAACAGTCCCTTCCCAGGAGATAGGGGCTGAACCCAGCTAACTGCTTGCTGTGCAGCTGGCCTGAATCTTGCAGTTCTCAATTCAGGGCTGAGTGCCCACAGCTGGGGACCCCTCCCCCACTGCCATCACAGGAAGTGACGGGGGACAGGAAAACCAACCAGAAAGCTGTCTGGGACTCCTCCATTCAGGTGTCTTTTCTATGGCTCCTTCTAGCCCAAGCCTTCTAGCAGGTCCCTGAATTCTGGGGGACCAGCTGTCACCCCACTCACTGGATAAAGCTACTCCTGGCAGGCACAGCCTTTTCCTCTAGGCAGACATGGAAGAGGCTCAAGAAAATCTCAATTGCTCTGTAGCCAAACCCCGACCCCGGGGCCCAGGATGCACAGGTGTTTCCGGGGGTAGCATCTCAGGCCTGGTACCCCCTTCCCAGAGTCAAACCACAAACAAAAACAGCCCAGTTGACCTGTAGGCTCTCCCAGGAGATGAGGATGCTTGATCCAGAGCCAGGCACCACACACATGCACACACAGAGACCACAGACACAGGCATACACGTAAGTTGACAAGCAGCCCCCACACATCCTGTCACGGTCACAGTCCCACGCATGGGGTGACCCATCCTTTTCTCTAATTCCAGACACTGCCCCTAGTATGAAGGGTACCTCCCTAATCAGACCCACAGACTGAGACCCCAAGACCAAGAGCCTACTTCCCCTGGAATCACACAATTCCACAGGCCCCAAGTTGAACCCCTGTCTGTTCCCCACCCCCCATGCCATCTGTTCCTCTTCCTGTGTTCCCTATCTTAGTAACAGCACTGCCACCCACCCAGTTGCTCAAGCCAGAAACCTGCAGCCATCCTCAACTCCTCCCTCCTCTTCTTCCATCCACAACCACGCTGTGCTGGGTCCTGGTTCACATCCAGGAGGCCAGGGTCATCAGACTCAAGAGATGTCCCAGAGGCTACCCAGGGAAGTCCTACAAACCTCAGCAGTCAGGAGGGTCAGGATTTCAAAGCCAGCTTTGGCTATGGGAGACATTGTCAAATAAATAAATAAATAAATAAATAAATAACCTTATAAGGTGGGGAGGTTTACAGGAATCAATATATGTCAAGTTCTCAGTCAGTGATTTGTGTTCAGTAAATGTGTAAAAATAATGAGCTCCAGGACAGATGAAGGCACCAGGAAACAAAACACAAGTAGTCCAAGTTCAACAAAAGTCAGGCCAGGGTTAGGGAGATTGCTCAGTGGTTAAGAGCACTGGCTGCTCTTACAGAGGGCCTGGTTCAGTTCCCAGCACCAACATGGTAGCTAACAACCATCTGTAACTCCAGTTCCAGGGGCTCCGACGCCCTCTTCTGGCCTCTGAGGGCATTGCATTCATGTGCTGCAGTTACACACATGCAGAAACATTATACACTTAAAAATCAAAAAAAAAATTTTCTAAAGGTCAGACCCAGTGAAGACACTGGTTATTGGAGGATCTTGGTCCTAAGGGGAAGGTACTCTCCACATCCAGGCTGGAGGAGCAAGAAAAGTGCTTCCAGGCAGAGGGAGGGGCGTGCAGCAGGGAGAGTTGTGAGGGAATTTTCTGGGGGAGATCCAAGACTGTTTAAGGTTAGCCTGAGTGGTGTTTTAACATGGGTGTTTAGTGCTAAAAATTCCTCTAGCTGCACATGTGAGATTTCTATACTGTATACAGTCTATGTAGGTCACCATCAATTTGAAGTCTGGGCTGGGAGTAAAGTGAACAAGGCTGTGCAAAGCCCTGGGTTGGTTCCCTAGCGCCCCCCCCCCCACACACACACATAGCTGATTATATGTATCATGCCTCTGTCCCCACTACCTCCCATGTTTCCTACCCCGACTCCTGACTACTCCCCAAGTCATTCTTTACCCTGTAACCACAGCCTTGGAGCAAAACCAAGAATCCCCTGCAGTTCCCATGCTGAGCACCATTCTGCAGCCCCCCCCACCTCTCAGCAGAAGCTCACCATGGGAATCCATTTCAGTGTTCCAAGGCTGAAGCAGGCCTGGCCCCTGCTTCCCCTGAAGCCTCCACATAGGCCCCTAATTCCAGCAGAACTGGCAGTGCCCCTCACACATGTCCTTGCCCGCCTGCTGGCTTCTGCACAGACTGGAACAGCCCAGTCTCATGCCCTTTCAGAAATCATTTCCAAGCTGAGTGTGGTGGCTCACATCTCTAATCACAGCTGAGGCAGGAGTTGTTCCAGATCTGCTTGGCTACATAGTGAGTTTCAGGATAGCCTGACTTACAGTGAAACCCATCTCAATGCCAAAATGCATTTCCAAAAGGACCTCAGAAGTCTCTCAGTCCTTCTCTACTTCAATGTGCTATTGCTATGAATCAAATACTTATAGAGAAGAAAACTCCTGTATTGGAAGCCTAATCCCCAATGCAATGATGTTTAGAGTTAAGAGCTTTGGGAGAAATGTCTCAAATGACAGAAGGTCTCAAGCAGACCACTGGCCTCAAACTCCTGCTCCTCCCATCTGGCTACCTCCCAAATGCTAGGATGATGGGCATAAGCCACCCACCTAGATGGTAGTAGTGCCTTGAGGGCTAGGGGACATAGCTCAGTTGGTAGAACATTTGCCTGGCATGCACAAAACGCTAGGTTTAATCCCTTAAAGAGATACAAGAGGATCTGTCTGCTTCATCATGTAAAGACACAGCAAGACAGTGTCTGTCTACAAACCAGGACAGGGATCTTCACCAGGTTCTTCACCTTGATCTTGGATACCCCTACCTCTAGAGACAAGAACAACAAATTTCTTGTTTAAGCAACCCAACCTATGGTACCCAACAGGCTAAGATGCTCTCAGAGACCCTGGAATTTCCTCACCACAGCCCTTATCTGACCACAGTGTAACGGCCTCTTCCTCGCACCAGGCTGGGCTATAATGTGCCTGTGCTTAGAACAAAGTCTGGTGGAGAGGGGGCACTGGGGAAGGCAGTGGTGGGAAGGACAGCTCCATGTAGAGACAATCATTTTTCTCAGGGATCTCAGTGACCTTTTCTTCGTCCAGGAAGCTAATTTAAGGAGGGAGCCACATGCCCACCCCCACCCCAGGCCTGTGCCAGAGTTGTTGAGCAAGAACAGTGTTCAAAGGTGGCTCTGGGACAGGGGAGGGAAGTTCACTCAGGCTGCAGGCAGGTGCAGGGCATCTAGTAGGATGTTCCCTGTTCCCCCAAAGTAAATAGATGTCAAGGAGGTAAGTGCGGATTGGATACTAAGGGATCTTCAGTCAGGGAGCCCACAGAAGAATGTAGGCTAAAAGCTGCTGGCAGAGCCAAAGTCCCAGAAAAGCTAGGCTACGCTTCAGATAGGAGTGGCTTCAGATAGGAGTGACTGTGAGTCCTGGCAGGCTCTGAACACTACAATCAAATCACCTCCCCACTGGTTTGCCTCTGGGAAGAGGAGGGAAGAGTGCCACCTGGGATCCAAAGGCTGAGAGAGGCAGAGACAGGAGAAGGGATGGAAAGACTGAGCAGGAGACAAGAGGCTAAGTCAGAAAAGGGAATGAAAGATAGCTTAAGAGTCCAAGAAAAGTGTCAGACAGTGAGTCAGAGGGTGGGGGAGGGGCTGCAGCAGCTACCCAGGAATCAAGATCCTGTTCCCAGGGTGAGCACACAGCCTGGATCTAGGGTCCTGGAGGAAGGAAAAGCAATTCCCAGGAGCTGGCTCAGACAGAAACACCACATCCCCTGAGGAATCCCTGAGACAGGCCTGGAATCAAAGAGAACCTGGCTCCTTCCGGGATCGAAGCAGCAGGAGAATCTGGCCGCCACCATCCTGCCGCCACACACAGGCTTTGACAGCCCAGGAGAACGTAATGTCACCCCAGCCTACCGACCGGTTATCTACACCCTCTGGTTGCACTGTGGGAACCTACTTCACTCTGGGAGCACCCGGCAACTATTCGAACTCCTCAACCCACCAGTTGCCCCAGCCTCCAAAGCCAGGGCTGGTACTAGGGAGGGGGTACCTCTATCTGCCTCTGTCCCTCTCTAGGAATCTGAAGAATGTGTCCTTTGACCTCAGAACCCCAGGTCTCAGCCAGCCATCCTTCCACCAAGACACCTAGGGTCACATGACCCCAGACCCTCCAGAAAGACTTTCTGGGACATTCACCTCCAAGCACTTCTGGTCATCACTGAAACAAAGTGCCCAGGCTGCTCTGAGACAGCAACAGGAAACACTGGCACAACCCTCCCCCATCCATTCCTCAGAAAGTGATCAGGGGGGAGGGGACAGTTCCTTAGCCTCGTCCTCTAGGGCCCAGCACTGGGTAGGTGCCAAATGTTTGCTGACTATACAAGGCACTTGTTCTTGCACAGGAAAAATTGTACCGTACACTATCTGCTTTCTCTGCCCTAAGCCAGTCCTCCTACACTCTCATTCATTCATTCATTCATTCACTCACTCATCAATCAAGTATTTGCTGAGCTCCCAAGAGATGCCAAGCACTGTGGCAGACATTTGGGCACACAGGAAGACATAAACAGCAACTCTTGAAGTTGGAGGAAGTGGGCAGACAGGGTACAACTCGGGACAAAGGCAGGCCTCAAGGAAAGAGTGTTGGCAGAGTTCCAGATAGGGGACACACCGTGGGCCAGGGGCTAGAGCAAAGACAGGGCTGGAGGGTGTAGGAGGGGACTCAAGAGAGGGGGTTGGGCCACAATGCTACAGGTCTCTTGTTAGCCTGAGGGTATAGGAAGCCACCCAAGGGTTTAGGTAGGGAGTGACAATACCAGATTTGCATGGTTAAAAGATGGCTCAGCACCCGGGACAGGAGGTTGTGACCTGTGGAACTGAGAAGGCAAGGAAGGCCCAGCCAGGTGAGCTGACAGGACAGGGCAAAAGAGAAAAGGGGTGGATCTGATGACTGCAGGAGAGGAGATTAGGGGGGCAGGGCTGTCAAGGATTTAGAGGCAGGGAGTGATGACTTACTCTCCAGAGGGATGAGACTTCGAGCTGGAGGTGTTGGGTGGGCAGCCAGAGCGCAGGGAGGGACGCTCTGGTGTCAGGAAGGTGACTACGACTGCGAGTGACTCTGCCCGCAGCAGGAGTGACTAAGTGTGTGTGCCTGGTGTCGTCGTGTGGGCATCTCCACAGCGCGTGACGGTGAAAGGGCCCCCAGGGAGGGGAAACTGAGGACCGAGAGGAAGTACGAGCAAAAGAGGGTGTAGAAATGCGTGGGAGAGGGCCTACGTGCCCGCGGGTGGCCGGTGTAGCTGCGCCCCGTGACTCACGGCAGTGGCCTCTGCGTGTGACGGTGACAGGTGAACATACGACACAATCCTCCCCCTCCCTCCCGGGGTCCGTGACTCACTAAACCTCACCTCACTCTTCGCTCATCCCTCCACGCCCTCCCTGACCCCCGCCGGCCGGGGGACCCGGCACACGCCGCAGCTACAGTACCGTCCCCCTGGGGGGAGCTCGAGGAGGAAGGTGATCACCTGCCCCAGCCACGCGAGTAACTTCTCAAAAGTTCTCAGGCAACTAGGTCAAAAGGAAACTCACCCGCGGGCACGCGCACCCGGTCACCCTGCCACCTGCAACCCGGCTTCGGGGCGCCGGGACATCCCGGGGTAACTGCAGCCGGGCGGGGGAGGGGAAGGAAAACTGGTCTTTCCCGCCTCCCCGCCGCGGACTCCCACTCGGGGCGCGCGATCTGCGGTCGCGATGGGCAGCCCGACCCCGGCGCCCACTCCAGGGAGTGATGGGCAAGGGGGACTGGAGTGACAGCGCCACTCGCATGGGACGCCCCCTCCTCGCGGTCCCTCCGAGCCGTGCTCGGGGCCCCCAGGGCTCACCTGCGACTGGAGAGCGCGCCACCGGCACCGCTGCGATCCGCGTCCCGGCCCCGCCGGACGCAGCGCGCGCCGCAGACCCTGCAGTGCGCTCGGCCGCGGCAGCCGTCTGTCCAGCCCGCCCAGGCTCTGCGCGTCCGGCAGCGGCGACGGCGGCGGGAGACTGGCTGCGCCTGGG